GGCCCCGCCGTTAAACGCGTTGAACACTCGGTGACGGTTAACGGGAGACAATATACACTCGGCTTGGTCACAGTTGACGGGGGGGGAAAAAACGAAGCGATAACACATCACGACAACAATATCGGACCGGAACATCCAGACGTTAAGGTTAGCTCGCGGAGCCCCCCCTCTCCCCTCTCCCCTCTCCCCCCGCGGTGTTTCCAGGTGGGATTTGAAGCCGCCTCCGAGCCAATTCAAGACACATTTAACGTTAACTGAACGAGACCGTCGCCGACATTCGTGGTAGGAGCGCCGCTGCTGCCGCATCCCGTTATTCTACGTACCGCACGCGGCGCTTCCGTTACTTTCTCCCGGTATTTGGTTGCAGTGTGAAATTAGAGGCTTTTTACCGCTGTGTCTTCGGCTAACCTACCGGCAGTACTGACGTTGGAGTCCGGCGTAGAGAGGTGGGAGTGAGCGCGGGGAGGGAGGAGGCGCGGGGAGGAGTGTGGAGGGGGGGGGGGGGAGGGGGGGTGATGGACCAGGGCTGGGATGAAGAAAAAAAAAAGGAGGTCCCCTAGTGGTACGTAGTAGGAGTACACATACATTTTCCATGTGGCGTAAAGGTGCGGGGGGGGGGCGGGGGGAACCGCGTCACAGTGACGATTCATCTCGACCTTGAACACCAAAAATAGAAAAAATGTCTCCAGTTGGAATATTGGGTCTGACGTGCAGCATCGTCAGTGACTCACCAGCAGGACTCTAAAAGAAAACAGCTGACGCGTTTCTTTAAGAACACTTTTTACCAGAGATGAAAGGAGTGAAACATCCACATACATTATAGATCTATATAGATATAGATCTATATGAATACGGAAATGTCCTGATGTGTCGCCAGTATGTGGTGCAGTTAAACTGGTGTCTAGGTGACCGAAGGCCCACAGGAAGATACTTAATCAACCATAAACAGGGCCTGCTGTTGCACTTCCAGTAAATGCTGCAGGCGTCCAAAGGCCAACAGCTCCCAGGGCTGGCCTCCTCATAAAAGAAATTAAAAAATAAATATCAAATTGATTAAATATACGCATGGTAAGTCAGAAAAATTACAATTAACAAAAAAATACTTACTTAAACGAAACATGTTCAGGTGCTGCATCACAATACTGTGTCAAATGATGGGATGACAAGTTGTAATTGTGACGATTACAATTATGAGATTACTGTAATTTACAGTTATGAGATTTTTAGACAAAACTATGACACACAAAGGAAGTTCCTTTTGATCTACCATGAGCATTTACATACGTTTTATATTATATAACTTTTCACATTTATCTTTTCCCGACAGAAATGGGCTTCCATAGTATTGAACACAGAGGTTTTAAAAAAAGTGTAGGAATTCAGCCTCGGGCCATCATCTTCACGCAGTCCATTTCATCCGCCTTCCCGCAGGTCACATGAAAGCACCCACCAGCTGTTAGCTGGCTACCATGATTGTGTTAAGAAAGAGGCCCTTTTTTTGTACCCCAGAACAGCTGTTTGCACAGCAGGACGAGATGACGAGGACACCTTGGACACAAACAGGTTACTCGAGTGGAAGCCGGCCATCTGCGGCCGGCGTGGGTTCATCTACTCGCGCCTCGCCGCCCTCTTCCAGGCCCACTCTCCTCAGGGAGTCCGAGTACTTTCTCCTTCCTATGCTGACGATGTCCTCGATCTCCTCCGCCAGGTCCCTCCTGCCGCTCTGGATCATGGCGGCCGCCAGCCGGGATGCCGCCCCCGTGTTGGTCTGTCCCCGGGCCCAGTGGAACAGCATGTCCAGGACCAAGGCGCCCAGGTTGTCCCTGGCGAGCGGAGCGGGACACACACAAGACATTTCAAACGGGCTACAGTGACCTCCCGAAGGATTGAAAGACGTTAAACCAGCAGTATCAGCAGTCTCAGTTCCAATGTAGGATGAAATCATTTTTAAGATTCGGCACATGGACAAACATACCTCTACTACATGAAATGTGCATTCATCAAATAGACACATCATTTAAATAACACGCGAGCGTACTCCTACATCAAATCCATCTACAGGCATTTTTCTTCCAACTCCAGGATGCGTCACGCAAGGTTCTCTGAGCATGAGGACAGGGGGAAGAGGGAGATGGGGAGGGGGGGAGGGGGATGAGCATCAGTCTGTGTGTAATCTCCTGCAGTGTCCCAGATGGCTTAGTGAGGGCTGACAGCGCAGATTAAAACAATCAAAATTCTCTACCATTTCTCTCCCACTGCGGTTTGCTTTAACTCACATTACCTCCCTCGCATCCCTCAGAGGCCTTTGCTGCATACGCACGTGTGTGTGTGTGTGTGTGTGTGTGTGTGTGTGTGTGTGTGTGTGTGTGTACGCACCAGTTAAGTCATTCACACAAGTAGGGTTGCTTTAATCATTCCCAATATAATTGAGGTGAATCGAGAGATTTCGTCCCTACCTGTGCTTGTACTGGATGCGGTCCAACTCCTGGTAGCTTAAGCCGAGATTGATGCCAATCAGCCGCCAGTCCTGTCCTATCTGAAGAGAGATGGACAGCAGGTTGGCCTCAGTCAGGTAGCCGCTCTCCGGGTCGCCCAGGTTCAGAGGAGGATGCTGGAGCTCTTCCGCCATGAAACTGTTTTCAGAATTTAGAGCCTACGAAAAAAAAAAAAAGGGGATTAAAAAAATATTTGTCCCTTTTAGTCCCTTTTAGGTTTTGGTGCTGCATATGGGTAGCAGCTAACATAACGTGTTGCTTTGGAAGAAAAAAAAACCATCTCATTTAGTCTGCATAATGTGTCTGCAATGAGCACTACATATGTAGGATTTACATTCATAAGCAAAAAACACATGTTCAATATCAAAAAGACGCCATCCCATATTCTAAGAAAAATGTACACGCATTCATATTCAACCCAGAAATGCTGAAAATATCTACATCACTTCAACTGACAGGAAGTCGGAGTGGTAAAGTTGCCAGCCACTGACTGTCAGGTCCTTTCCTCTTCCTCGCCACTTCCTCAGGCAGACTGCTGGGACACTCCCCTCTATAGAAGGACACCTGAAACAGAGGCAAGACATTGGGACAAAACAACTAGTGAGTGACCGCAAATAACCTGAGAGACGGCATCCGAACAATAAAAAGGTTTCCGCCTGGTTTCATTAGAAAGCAGTACTTTGGTTGCTTGTGTTGACTCCATCCTGTTTTTTTAGTTTGATGTATCACGTTGACCGCCCTGTGTCCTGTGTGGGTGGACGGGGCAGTCGGATTGTTACGTCTCCGACAGTCGGACTGAAGTAGCGTTCAGATTCATTTGGATCATGTTACAGAGAGCGGAGGTTTCTACTGTCTGCTCACACTGGAGGTATTTCTCCAGGGGAACGAGGCTGATTTTAACATCGCACTCGTAATTACAAGCTGCAATTACCTGCAGTTCTTCTGCACACTCTCTGCTCCTCCTGTAATTTATATCCCATACTTTTAATATAAATTAGATCTCCGAGTTGTTTTCTGCAAGAAGAGCTTTTTTTTTTTTGCAATCACCTGGGGACGCTTTGCCTTACGGTGCATGTAGGCCTGTTTGGTTACTACACTAGTACAGTAAACTATTATAAGCCATTAGTATAAGTAATTTTTTTATTTACATTGTGGCAAGAGCACCATTTCAAGTCCCCCAAATTTGCTATAGGCGGTTTGTAATGACGTATAGAAACCATCACTGGATTACTTTGATACTGAAGTTTTGTCCTTTTTTCCCAAATTGCTTATAATTCTAATTTGTAAAGTGTATCCGCTCTATAGAGAGCGATGACACTGGGAGCCCCCCCAAGGGACCAAGCTTTCTTTCTTCCCTGCTGAATGTGATGTCCGTCTTACTTGTCCCCTCACTGGGCCCTTCTGGTCCTGAGCTGGACAGATGTACACCTCCTTCAGATTCTTCAGGCTGGAGTAAAAGACGAAACACAGTCTCCCCTCCACACAGTCTGGTCTCTCTGGCGAGGGAGAAAAGGGAAAAGGAAATCTCACGACAGCACACCATAAACTCCTGGAAGAGCAGGGAGCGGGGGACAGGCTAACGTTTATGCGAAACAGAGCTGCAAAGAGGACTTCAGACCGGTGCTGATATCCAAGCCCCTCTCGAAGCCGGCGAAGAACTGCTCTCCTTCCAGCAGGTCACACAGGTCGGAGGGCTGAGGCCCATCGTAGCGCTCGGACAGAGACTGCACTCTGCCGTCCACCTGCACCACACGGTCAACAATCAACCATTAAAGTTTCAATAAGTAACTCATCATACGACACCGCCGAGGCGGAGAGGAGAATGACGGACCCTGTTAGCGGGCAAACACTGTAGCATGACTTGAGATGGATCAGTCTTCCTCTGGAGGACCAGGAACTGGACTTTAAACTGCTTCAGCCTCTGATAGACCTTCCTGACCACCCCGCTAACACACTGCTGGGTGGTGTACCACAGCCAGTACCTGTGATGACGCACAGAGGGCTGCTTAAATACAACGGGAATGAATAAACCAAAAAAACGCACATTATGTAACGATATATATATTTTTAAAGCTTACCAGGAGAAATGTGTAATGTAGAAAGTGGCGTACAGGTGAGAGACGCAGAGAGAGACCTGCGATGTGATGTCGGTCCAGGTCTGCGCGGTGGCATCTCCGTGCAGCAGGTGCAAACAGGACAAGTCACACGTCTGGCCTGCAGGAGCACCGGACCACGTTAACGCTTGCGAATACGTCCGCTTACAGACACGGGCGAGGATGAATGGCCACTGTACCCGTGACGCCCGACGGCAGAGGCACCTGGACCTCGACGCGCTGCAGGAAATGGATGCTGGGGTCCTGCGAGAGGCAGAGCAGGGGGCTAACACTCGCCTGAGGATCCCCACACAGCGCCCGGACCTGCGACACGGACACCTGCAGCACCTGAAGACAGAGAGACGAGCTGAAGCCTCGCAAAGCACGGACCCCACTCCCCCCCCCCCGACCTGACAGAGGCCTCCAGCGGTACCTGTAAAGTGACGGTGCGGCTCTGCACCGTGCAGTCTGGAGGGAAGCGGAGCTTCACCCCGTCGTCGGCGCTGGACACCAGTAGGGCTCCAGTTGGTGTAACAGAGCAGCTGTCCTTCAGCGGACGGGACACTGCCATAAACCAAGAGAACTGGCTCACCGCACAGCAGGCCAGCTGCAGGCACGTCGACGAAAGGACGTTACGATTTGTACTATTAGAAAACAAGGCTCAAAACAGGAGTGTAAAAGGATTGTTGTACAGTGGAAGGTTTTGCTTTACCCTGGCGGGACGTCCTCCGGGGTGGCTGCTATGGCTCGGACTTCCTTTCCTCAGAAACGTGGGCAGGGTGCTCCACGACTGTCCGTCAAACCTCCGCACCAGCACCTCCCTCCTTTTCGCCCGATGATATGGCACACACACCTCCACGGGCTGGTGGTAAAGCAAAGTTAGGGAATACAGTGACAAACCTGGATAATCTAGGAGTAACATTAAAATCGAGGAGCTTCAAAATCTGTGCAGCAGGGATCCTAAATTTCCCACAATGCAACTGGATAACACCTTCCTGCCTGGTGTTTGTGTCCATGTCTCTGTCAGTATGTGATGTAGACTTTCAGTTACATATTTGTTTTCAAAACCCAAGCTGCGATAACACTGATGACGTCACTATGGCTTAATCAAGGTGATTTTTTAAACTTAAAGCGCATCCCGTAGAATTGGTGGCGTGTGCCTACGACAGATGTGGCACGCGGACGTACTTTCAATACCTTTAGAAATGTAATTCCATGAGGTCGAAGTTCCAATGGCCGACTCAGCAAGATGTCATGCTCCTCCAGCCACACCCACTTCCTCTCTGACCTTTTCTCAGCCCACTCCAGACTTGTGGTTGTCACCAGGCACCCTGGGGGGAACAGCAGCTCAGCCCCCCCTGGGAGAAACACATGACACCCAGCAGGCGAAACGCAGAAGCTAAGGAGCAAAGGGAGCATGACGTCTGTAATCTAGTCGGAAAAGGCGCCAAGTGACGATGTGGATTCCCAGCGACACTGTACCTGTGCTGGTGGAATCCGAGGTGCAGCTCTTGAATTTTCGTTTCGGTTTGATCTGGAGAGCAAACAAGGGTAAAAAAGCGGGGGGGGGGGGGGGGAGGGGGGATTTGGTGGAAAGCTAAACGTAAACCCTACGTCTTGCTGCGATACAGTCTAAAAGGATTTACGCAAAAATCCATTTCAAGCCCCTTTTTCTCCGCTCACCAGGTGTCGGAGAGAGAGGCGGGGGGGTGGGGGATTGTCCCAGAGGATTGTCACGCACATCCATGTTCAGCAGGGGCAGTTCCTTCAGGCAACGGGGGATCAGTCGCACCTCATTGCTGTAGATGACGAGCTCCCTGAGGGCCAGGAGGGAGCCTGGGCCACAAAGATGCTGTATTAGAGACTTGAACTTTTGAATGAATTGACGATTCCAGTTAACTTACTAAATCCCCCCCCCCCCCCCCCCCCCGTACGCCCCTTACCCATGCTGTCCGGCAGCTGCCTCAGCTTGTTGTGAGACAATTCCAGCTTCTCAAGCCCCTCCAGGGAACCGATTTCATCGGGCAGCCGCTCGAGGAGGTTATGCGAAACATCCAGTCTCTGCAGAGCTTTCAGGCGACCCACACCGCGGGGAAGGGACACCAGCTCGTTCCCCAGGAGGCAAAGGTAGGTGAGGGAGGACAGCTGGCCGATATCAGGAGGCAATTCGGAGATGTGGTTGTAACTGAGAAGCAAAGAAGACAGCCCGGGCAAGCCGAGAAGACAGGGCGGCAGACAGGTGAGCTGGTTGAAGGAGAGGTCCAGGTGCACCAGATGAGAGAGGTGGGAAACGGAGGAGGGCAAAGTGGTGAGGAGGCCAGGCAGCGGGTCACCTCGGGGGTCGTTGAAACGGTGCCCTTGAAGGAGGTGGGAAAAAAAAATGTGCAGGAAGGAAAATGAGAGCCATCAATCAACACAATAGTTACAGTATCTACCGCATGTAACAGCCGAAAAAAGAAGTGAAGCAAAGTGAACTTTGCCATTTAACCAGCTATGATAAAACAGTATGTAATGAATGAGAAAAGTACCCCGAGCAGCCAGTGAACGCAGCTCTGTCAGTTGGGGTAATACATGCAGCGCTTCGTCCAGGCCCGGCTTATCCTCAGAGCCCAACCTCAGGTACCGGAGGCCCCTCAGCCGCCCCGGCACGGACCCCCAGAGCAGAGGCAGCGCGGCCGCTCCTCCCCTGTACACGTCCAGGGTCAGCCTCGTATCGGTCAACAGAGCTGCAAGCTCCACGGAAGGAGGCAAGGGCGGAGTCAGAGACACGACCGAGGAAGAGGAGGAGGAGGAGGAGGAGGAAGGATGATGGGTGGAGAAGTAGGAGAGGGACAGGCTCAAGGTGGAGGGACCGAACGTGTCCACGAGGCTGGACGGAGACACCGAGGGGGCGTCTCTCTCTGCTGGACTGTCAGACAACACGCCACTCGACACCGTGGGTCCGGTCTCCCTGTCGGATTTGTCCTGGTCCTGGTACAAGAGCTCCCTGCAGAGCCTCAGAGCAGGGACGTCCACAGGAGGGGTACCTGACCCCCCTGTGGACGTCCCGCGTGTCCCTTCCTCTTCTCCATCCTGCGACCCGCCGGGCCTCCCCGTCCACCCGGCTGCCTGGTCTTCATCCTCTTCATCAGCAGCTGCCCCTTCCTCGCTGTTTCTCTCCATTGAAGTTAACTAAAGTTTAATGGTGAAGGTAACAACCCTCTGCATGACGTGCCCGTGACGTCACATTGGTGACGTTACGGACGTTCATCAGTCAAATAAAGCAGGATAAGTGCCATGAAAGACGCCGAGGACGACGTAGCATGTTGAGCGGTTGTAAAAAGTTAACGTTACACTAATGTTAGCTATCAGCTAGCTAGTATGTGATTATTATCATTTTTTTAAAAAGAGTAAAAATCTCTGCCTTCCAAGACCATGTTTCTGCTGTTTCTGGTAAGGCTAACGCTCCATGTTGTGTTGTTTAGTTAAATATGAAGCCGGTTCCTCTGCCCTCTCTCGGTCCCCTCTTTCTTACTTCCTTATGTCCTGCAATGTTTTTAAAGAAAAGCTTCGCGTCACAGATGAACGCTCGTTTTTCTACGTAGTCCACCGGTGGGGGGCGGGAGGAGTCTACCGGTTTGTTTCCGTCAAAGGAAACTATGATCCCCGCCTTTCCGGGTACAAACGTGCAATAAATTGAGCGCTTTGATACTGGAACCGCCAAAGTCTCCACTCGGGGCGGGACAGTTGTGTCAGCTCCTGTCATGATCTTCTCGGCCAGCTGGTGGCGCTGCTGAGTCCAATACACAACCATAAACGGATCTATCACTTTTAATACGTGTGCTGTCCTGAGAGTATAACAAATATATAAATTGTTTTCACGTGGCTCCCTGCGCTGTAAAGCAAATAGAATCACATCAAATGACACATGTGTACAGCTTAGAGCAGTACTGATAAAGGGGCTCCTCGTGAATGAGGTAACAGATCATTCACAAAAAATAGTATTTTTCCTTTTAAAATCCATTTTAGAATTGTTTTCCTTTTGAATCTTCAATAATTCATTCATCCTTTAACGATGGAAGAAATGAAGAAATATAATTATTTTTTGTATTTTTTGTGTTCTAATGTATCATTAGAATTTAATGAAGTAAGTTACATTTATCCATTTAAACAACAATCACTGTGGAGGTTCTACATTGCAACTTCTAATCATCTCAATTTAAAGTGACCTCTTACATCATTATTAATTAATAATTCCTCCTAAAAAGGGTTTCACATCTTGTTTTTACGTCATAAATGTTTAAAACATTTACTTATGTAGGAAAAAAATATTCGGTTGTGCCAAAAGGAGAGTGTGGTTCAAAGAGCTACATTGGGTACAAATACTACATCAGTTATCATCGTGTCAGACATGTACCTTCTTGGAGCCAAAGCTGTTTGCTGTTATTTTGAGTCTTTTCACAGCATTATCAAATGTTCTTACAGCAATACAAATATGTTGACTCAAACATAACATTTGGAAATTGTTCTGTTTTCTTTTTTTAATAGATGATGAAACCTAAATGGTGTTTTTTTTACTGTTGATGCCAGCAGATACGGTCCATCCCGTCTGGTTGCCTAGGCAGAATGAAATGCTGTTATGCCCTATTGATCCCCACGGACTTTTGGGCCTTTGACTTTTTGGCGACCTCCACTTGTGAGAGTAGGAATATATTTTTTAAAACAATGAACCCTGGCTCATGGTGGTTTCACAATTTGCCACGTTCTCTAAGGAATGATGTCCTAAACAGAGCCCAGGATCAGTGCCCACGAGAATGAACTATGCCAAACCTAATTCTGTGAATAGTTTATTCAAGGAAGTGTTTCATAAACAAACAAAAAAACATTTCACTGTTATTGTTGAATGCACTTCAACTGTAACACGCTTGTAATTTCATTACTACTTGGGAAAGCCTACTATCTTGTATTGATTTGTAAGCAGGATGTTGCAAAACAACCAAACGTGTTAATCGTTATTATGAGCACATGGTTTGTTTCCTTAAAGAAGAAAAAAACACAAACACAGGTAAACAGGAACAGACACCCATTAGCTCGCTCTGTCAGGGGAAGCTTTATTCCATCAATAGGTTCCTGTAGACAATATTGCATGGTCGGAAATCAATATAGCTTATTTTTACTGATAGCAACTATTACGAAAGAGTCTCAAAATAGCCTAGTTGACACGAATAAACAAAACATTCAACACACTAGGGCAACAATAAGATTCGTTTACAAAGGTCAAAACAAAACCCGTTGTTCCAACTTTACAGTGTAACAGCGGTGCGGATTGTGATTGGTCACATTATCAACCGCGTCGATTGTGATTGGTCAGAGTTACTTCACGGTATCAGTTGTGATTGGACAGCTCCGAGTCCTCCTCCAAAATACACCGAGTGAGGGAAATAACAACAACTCCCCATGGCTCACCGCACTAAGTTACCCACTACTTAACCATCGTGGAGTCGGATTTTTCCTCACATCGGTTTTTTAGTAGAGAGTATTTTACGTCACCCGGAAAGGAAGGAAGAAGTCTGCTGTTAGCTAGGAAGCTATAATCAGGTAGCAGACAAACTCCATTATCCTAAACAAAAAGCACGTGAAGCGGCTTCATTAATAACATATGGTCGCCACTCAGCTCTAACAGAAAACTTTTTGTTCGAATCATTTTCATTTAATCTTTTCATTTCTTTCGGCGAATATCGGAAGTCTGAATTGCGAGTCAACCTTCAGGCCCCGCGACCTTCGGCCCAGTTGTCGCGTCACCGGTATGTTCCCTCTGGACTCGCCGTGGAACATCTCGTTCGCAGGATGCGGCTTCCTCGGCATCTACCACGTGGGTGTGGCCAGCTGCCTGGTGGAGCAGGCTCCTTTCCTGGTGCAGAACGCCAGGCACATCTACGGAGCGTCGGCCGGGGCGCTCACCGCCACTGCGCTGGTCACCGGGATCTGTCTCGGTAGGTGTCCTCTGAGCCTTGTGCTGTTGGAGCGGTGCATGTCTGCCGTTGCCTTTAAAGTATGTTCATCTGCCATGTAACTGGTAGCTAAGGCTGTCACATAAAGGTGGGTGTTATTATAATAATATCTCCTTCTGATTTGTACCAGAGTCAAATAATACAATTCCTTAAAAAGTACTCGAGTAAAGAACTTCCAAATGTATTTTCTAACATGCCATCCTGATCATGTCAAGCTTATTATACCAACCGAATGGGCTATTCAAAGTAGCAACTATCTTTCTAAGATGTCCTTACAGGGAGGAAAAGGTTAGAGGGGAGTTCTGTAACAAAATACCTGCAATCTATTCTGCAATTATCACTTCCGCAAATATAGTTACATACGCATCTACTCCACTGAAAACCTGATTTCGTAAGCTGGACAATGTACAGTGTCATGAATACATTTATTTATCCCAAAACCTCCATCAAGAAGAACACAGTTCCATCTCCTCTTTGTGTAATCCTTTTGGTCGCCCCTGTGTGTTCGCAGGTGAGACTGGCGCAAACATCATTGATGTTGCCAAAGAGGCGAGGAAGCGCTTCCTGGGAGCCATGCATCCTTCCTTTAACCTGGTGAAGATCATGCGTCACATGCTGCGGCGGACTCTGCCAGCGGACTGCCACCATGCCGCCAATGGGCGGTTAGGAATCTCCCTTACCCGAGTGTCAGACGGAGAGAATGTCCTGGTGTCACACTTCAATGACAAAGAGGAGGTGGTGCAGGTGGGAATTAAGCCTGACAATATTTCTCTCAATATTTTGCAGTAGAGGTGGTTCATGTTAAGGAGTTGAGATGTCGGGACAAACATAATTGAAAGCCGACTTGGGCGTGGGAAATTTATAAAACAGTAAATACATTTTTGAAAAAATTGATGCGGATTAATCAACGGTGAAAATAATTGTGAGCAAATCTAATTTAACCTTTAAAATGTGACATTCAAAAAATGACATTTATAGTCTTGCACTGTACAACATCATTACTCTATAATTAACGTTCCTTATGTTATGTTGTTGGTCACCTAGGCTTGTGTCTGCAGCGCCTACATCCCAGTGTATTGTGGCCTCATTCCTCCCACACTGCAAGGAGTGGTGAGTACATTCAAACGATTCAGTGTTGTCAATATCCTATAGTTGGCCTAATGAAAGTAAACGATCTCAGTTACTTGAATGGATTTTATATTTAGGACTTGACACGGTTTTACTGACCCCTCTACCACACTGCGTGTGGCTTATTTCCTCTCATTCTGTTTTGTTGTTGTTACATTTGGCGCTTTCCTCATCTGTTACTCTGCCTTCCCCAAAGAATGTGTTTGTTCTGTGAGGCACGTGTGTGGAAGCAACGATGGTGCAATTACTCAGGATTCAGTGTTTGTCACAACTTCTCTTTTTTTTAAATTTATTTTTTTCGCTGGACATTTCTAGCGCAAAGGTCTTCTGGGCAATGTGATTGAGTAATACCCGCCCTCCCTCTGTGGCCTTTGGGTTGGGTTTTAAGGACTTGCATGCCTGTGTGTGTGCGCGCAGTGCCAAAATTGAGAGAGTTGGCTCGTTCATTGATGTTGTTCTGTCCTCTCGGTGGCTCAAATTTAGAAAATGTTGGTCACGCTGGTCTCATTTGTTGACACATTCTTCACGCCTCCCACCTCTTAGTTTAAAAGTTCACCAGCTTCAATGAAAAAAAATAACTTTAGCCAATTGACCTGACATGATGTCACCGTCATCATATCCCGTGCGATGATTGTTCTGTGGCCAATTGTGATTTTCGAGTTCCTTCCTGACCTGTTTCTGTGTATCCATCTCTTATTGTTCAGCGATATGTCGACGGAGGGATCTCAGACAACCTGCCTCAGTACGAGCTGAAAAATACCATCACTGTGTCCCCGTTCTCGGGAGAGAGCGACATCTGCCCCAGAGACACCTCCACCAACATACACGAGCTGCGCTTCACCAACACAAGCATCCAGTTCACGCTCACCAACCTCTACAGAGTCTCCAGGGCGCTTTTCCCCCCAGACCCCATGGTAGGTCCTCCCATTACAACCCTCAGGCTACACACTCATTGATCTGGAGTGAACTTACGGAACCTCTTGCATGTGTCTTTTTTGGAGTGCAGGTTATGAAGACCATGTGTAAACAGGGATATAAAGATGCTCTGCACTTTTTAAAGAGGAACGGTAAGAAACGCTGATTACATTCTTTTTATCTTACATTCTCAAAATCATGTTCCGCTCTGCTTAGAAGAATCGTGTCAGTAATAACAAGCCCTATTGATTTTCTTGTCCTCTAGCCAGACCATACTAGTAGACATATTATCATCCTGATATGCTATCGCAATGGGCTCTTCCTGTTGTCACATGTCTACAAATCAATAAGCTTCCTGTGTTTGCGATTAGACGTATATTACTCCTTATTGTTACTTATTTCTAGGAACATTGTTAACATTATTTCCTTTATAAGTAGATCATTATAAATAATTTGGATAATTGAACTAATTAAGAAAGGAACCCACCATTGATGACATATAAGAAGATATACTACCTTTACATAATGGTTCTGTTTGCAGGGTTGCTTAATTTCAATGGACCTCACAGAGAGCTGCCTCTACTGGCTAATGGGGAAGAAAATGAAGATTGTAATGAGGAGGAGGAGGAGGAGGAGGAAGAGGAGGAGGACGACGACGAGGAGAACAACAAAAGTGATGAAGAAGAGGAGAAGCCAGATGTAGAAGAGGGAGCAGTCATGATTTATTGCAACTCCTCTATAGAAGAGCATTTCATCGAAAGCCTTCCACCCATTCTGCACAAAGGTAACAATTATAGAAGGAATAGTTGGGGCCTCATATCTAGAAACGACAAAAAAACAGCCCTGCTTTGGCTTTGTGAAAGCGTTTTTGCATTTTTCAGATAATCTAATGGGTATTTATTTTTAGAAGTAAAATACTTTAAACAACAGTCTTTGAATTTCTGAGACACACGGTACCACTGGCATCATCAATGACTACATGCCCAGCATGTTGACAGTTTTGAAAGGTATTTCGTTCCCCCTTATAGGCAGGGGTCGGTTCCCATTAATTCCAATGTGAAATGTAAGACACTCACTACTTACGTGAGTTAGATAATGTATCGTAGTTCAACATCATATTTCCTTTTTATATGTATTATGTTTGCCAGCAAATTATACAGAACAGAGTTAATTGAAAAGTTGCCACTGTATTACAATGTAAAAGTAATGTTGCAGAACCAGTTGCTCCCTGGATGGCAACATCCAGATAAATACACACAAATTCAGACCACTATAAGCTGGATAATGATCTGCTCTGATGTTAATGCATACTAATGAGCTGGTAGTTGAACAGTACCATCACACAAGAAAGATTCTCTTAAGTCTCCTGACACTTAGATTTAGTCCAAACTGTGCTGAAAAAAGCAGGTTATTTCTATGACTTGTTTGAGGTCATTCTCGTGGTCATCTCTGCCTCCCTCTGCAGCTCTAGTTGAGGCCTGCATGGAGAGAAGGAGCCTGATGCAGTCGCTAAGCAACCTGCTTCCCGTCAGAATGGCCTCAGCCATGATGCTCCCCTACACTCTCCCTCTGGAGTCGGCTGTGTCCTTGAGTCTCAGGTAGGTGCTGTAGGACTTGATTACAACTGGTCCCATCTGCTCCCTATTTGATGTGCACTCAGAATAATGGCCCAGTACTTCCTTTGCTATGGTGTACTTGGGTCTTGTATGTGTAGTTGTGTGCTATGACTAGAACTTTCATTATGCCGCCAATGTAATATAATATTATTGTGGCTATAGAGGAAATAAAATGGCAGAGTGTCGTGGACTTCTTTCGAAATCAACTAACAACGACATATCACATGTGTAGACTTCTGGAGTGGCTGCCAGATGTGCAAGAAGATGTTGGATGGATTCGTGATCAGCTGTTAAAGGTCCTGCAGCACGTTCTTCGCCAAACCTCCAAAAGCATCTCCCAGCATGTATCTGCCAGGTAGGTGACAGTGCAGTTGCACAAACACACGTTATATGTAAACAAAGAGTGCAATTACTTGTTTTTTAGGCAATTTTTAACAACTAACCATGTCAGAGAACATTAAATGTCAGGTCTATAAACTCCATGGTTGATGTGGCTGCTCTCTGGAGAGAACGTTTTGGCACAAACAAGTTTCTGTTTGCAAACTTGTCGCTTATTTTACACGTCCAGCAGGTCCAGAGCAACGTTTTTGTGCACTGTGAGTCATGTTTGTTGTAGCCTGATGGTGTGAGTCCAATATTGACTGCTCTTTTTTGGTTTCTACTTACTCCCGAGGGAAATATCTGCCTCTGCTATTTGCTCCACACTCTGCTGTGTGTCTGTTGAATGTTGCTGAGCGTGCAATGTAGGAACAACAGCTGGCTAATGTGTCTGAGAACAACACTGACTGACAAACAATGAGCGGGGACACTCTTTGAAAAGCTCTGTGCATTTGAGGGGAGTTGCAGAATCGTGGGACGATTACCTGTCACTTGTTCGATAGTGCACTTTATTTTTTTAATTTTTCATTTTTAACTTGAACTTTAGTCTTATTTTATACTAACCCATAGCCTTATTCTACTAACCCATTGCATTATCATTTCATGTTATTTTATTACTTGTGCACTGCTGTCTTGTTGTCTATTGTTACACTGTCACGCACCAACCGCCAAGACAAATTACTTGTATGTTTGACATATTTTGGCAATAAATGTTTCCTGATTCCTGTTGGTCCATCTGTACTATCGTCTCAGTGTCGTATCGGTGTTTATTCTAACTGCTTTAATAACAGGGAGGAAATCACTCACAGCTGACTCCTTTTGATTACGTCTTTGCTTTAGGTTTTACTGTCAGCTGGAGTTGCACCACTACCAGTCCCTCCCATCCAGGATCAGCTCCACCAGCCTGTTTCCCAACTGGGTTAATGAGAGCGGTTTGTCAGTGATGGATGTCTTCATGCGTCTTGACCAGTTCAAGAGGCAGCTGCTGTCTGGAGAGCTGTGCATTAACATGGACCTGCAAGGCTCCTTCAATAGTGGACTGATGTCACCCGATAAGAGCCCTCCCTCCACCTTGTCACCCGAAGGCCTCACGATGGTCGTCGTGGATATTCCACCTGCCGTGGACTCTGGAGAAACCATCAGCATCTCCTAAGAGCTTCTGGCGGGTATCTGCTGCTGATGCTTCAGCACTGAGGTTCAGATGTACTTATTCTACATCCCGGAACATTTTTAAAGAGTTTAAATCAGACTTTAAAGTTTGTTTACAGCTTTTAATTTAGAATTGTTTTTATTTGTATTTTTTAGGATGCCAGAGGGACATTTGTAATCAAAGAGCCCCATTGTTTTGTTAATGGGACTGGTAATCATTTACCATATTTACACCTAGTGTGTTATATTATTAATATTTTGACTAATGCAAGTCTTGGGTTACAGTACAAATCCAAAGACCGTGTGTTTATGGATTTGCATTTGAATGCAGCACATGTGCTCAAACACACACAAACTTGAGTTCCAGGATGTTAGAAACATAATTCTACACTTGATGTAGGATTTATTTTATTTTTAAGGTGAATTTTTATGTTTTTGTGAAATGTAGTCAGACTTGTAGGCAAGCACAGCGTTCCTCCTGCATCTCTTTATGAGCTCTGGGTCACTTCTGACCAACAGTAGATGCAACAAACTGTTGCAGGTAGTAACTCCATTTATTAATGCAAGTGTCAATGCAGTGTTGTGAAAGACGTTTTGGCTTCATGATACGCCATGATATGCCTTTTAAAATTTGTATTAAAAATACAAAGCTGCTGTGCTCTGTTTACCCAATTATAGAGAAGTGTTTCTATCATCTTGATATATCTAAAATGTAGGTTATAATTATTTTAGATTTTCATCTTCTCAGTATTGAATGTGTGCTTTAAAATCACACATGTTACATGTGATGCAAACTGTAAATTCAAAAAGATTTTATTTGAATTAAATCTGAATTGCACTTTCTGAATTCAGCAGGTAATAAATAACCTGCTGGTATTAAACGTTGCTTACTGTGTACTAAATTGGTGTGTTGTAAGTCCAGCACATTGTCAAAATGTTGCAGGAAATAATATTTATGTGATCATTTAATAAACTGGTAATGTTTAACATTAACTGCAGGTCATGAGTGGTGCATTGCTGTGAATACTCAGTTTAATAACATTGATGATCACATTTCTCAGAAAGAGCCGTGAGTTACGGAGAAACGTGCGCACAGAGAGCAGGGAACAGTACACATTAGTAACCGTAACCAAACAGTGAATCAAGGACTGGAGACCTTCTTGGGAGGCTTCCAGATACAAAGGTTCCCAGCAAAGTGACAAATAATCACAGTTTATCCATGACATGTGTGGGTGAAGCAAGGAAATAATGCGGCGCTTTAAACAACTGCATGTCAGTAACTGAAGAGTATGTAAAGATATATGACCCTAACCCTAACAGTATATAATTCTTGTTTTTTTTACAAAATCCTTTGAAAAATGTAATGCTAGGAAAATAAAAGCCACAACTGTAATAATTGCTATTTGAAAAATATAAACGTGGGATCAACGTGGGATTTTTTGGTGTCCACAGGGGCAGTTTGGTTGTTGCAGCAGCACTGAAAGCAAATCAAGTACAAATAAACTGAAATTTAAGACCAATTAAAGACAACAATTATGGTTAATTGAGTAGAATTATTATAGAAATATACAATATACTGTAATAAAAACAGTAACTTATTAACACAATATGGTATAGTAGCCTATATTACAGTACATAGTAATGTAGTAGTTGTATAGTATGTCAAGTCTAGTACAGAGATAAATATAAATATGTCATTATCACCCTTTTCCACCCTCTAAAAATAGGTGTTTTGTTATGGATTCTTTAAAACATAAATGAATATAACTAAATAAATTAAGTTAAATTTAATAAAGAAAATACAGTAACAAATGTTGTCATTACCACAAGGTTTACAACATGAATTAAATATTTCTTCAAATAGATTTTTTAGGTTACACTGATATTTACGCTTGACATGGACGGAAGATATATTACAATACAATACCATCAAGCAAAACAGATCAGAACAGAAGTTAAGTTTGAAAATGTAATGTGGCATGTAATGTAAGACATCGAATTTGGAATTTATTGTAAAACATAATATTGAATAGTTGGTTTGCCTACTATAACAATCTATGATTTTATACCCCCCCCCCTCCCAGGCATACCATAAAATCTTAATCAGTTGGTGTCAATGTCAATAGATTTGATCTTATAGCACCAAATATACACTGTGTGTCATCATTTATTGGAGTCATTTTACTGCTCATCTGTCATGACCCAACGTACTCAGTCTATGAGAAGATGACACTTGTAATGTGTTTTCTCTTATTGTTTTAAATTAGTTTTTTCGTGATTTTCCTTTTTTTGTCTGGTTTTGTTCTGTCGTTCCTCTAAAGCGTCTTTGGGATTCGCATCTAGAGCATCTAGAAAGGCGCTATATGAAACTAAAGTATAATTTCCTATTATTATAAGAGAACACACGGTCCCCTCCCACTGATATAGGAATATCCGACCGGCCCCTGAAGGCAGCGTTAGACATAAAAAGTTAGCTGTGAAGTTCACGGATTCTTTTAAAGAGAGTCTCCGCCAGGGGGCGCAGTCGAGTTGGTGATGAGGGGTTGCAGGCGGGGGGGGGGGCGGGACTGGCAGGCTCAACGCAAACCCTGCACTCCGCTTCCCCTCGCACCGTGAGCTGAATCCGTCCCCGGGACAGACAGGGGAAGATGGCGGCCACTGACCAATCCCGGTCCGAAGCTGCCAAACAGCGACGGCAGGATCAGCTGCAGCGATGGCTGGGCTCGGAGACGGATCAGACCGGACCGGAGGCCCGAGGAACTGCGAGCGGTTCCGGGACGCGACGGGCGAAAGTCCGCTTCGCCCAAGGGGCCGTGTTCATGGCCGCCTGCTCCGCCGGAGACCGGGAGGAGGTGACGGCGCTGCTCCGGCAGGGAGCCGACATCAACCACGCCAACATAGACGGGCTGACAGCGCTCCATCAGGTTGGTTAAAGTTCTCCGTAAGTTAACGGCTGTTTTAATACGACGAGTTCAACCGGCGTCGGTTCAACGTCCATCCGCTAATCAGTCCCCACACAACTTATCTCGCCGTGGAGTTACAGCGTTAAACAGGAAGGGAAAATAACAATGCCAGTTTATTTGACGCATAGTTCCAGTTAACGTGGCATTTGCTTGCGGGGCCCGTGTGGTGGTCGGTTAGTAAGTTACAGCCTTCTTCCTCCAGCATTCGCTCTAAGACCAGTGGGGTGATGTTTAGATCTCACAGCGGCCCGCGGACACGTCTCGTTGTCATCGTCGCATGATCAACAAGTAATTATTGCTCTCCATAGAGGAGGATTCAACCTTCATTCGTGTCGCTTGCGCCGCGCTCCTTCCCCCTCGGTCCCCCCCCCCCCTTGGCTTCAGTAATAACACGGAGGAGCGGGCTGGACAACATCACTGTCACACAGGCCCTGGTTGATCCAGTGTTTCCTCTGCCTGTCTGTCACGCCGAGGCAGGAACGCGCTCCGACTCTCGGTCACTTGGGTTCAGCTCGTGGCACTCGAGCGATGCGCGGCCACGTTAAGAAAAAAGGTCGTGCTCGTGATTCCGTACCGTCCCATACTGGAGCCCAATTGTGGTTCGGCCTGTGTGTGTGTGTTCTGTGTGTGTGTGTGTGTGTGTGTGTGTGTGTTTCGCGGTGACGTCATGCTCGGAGATGATTGGTGCTTTCCCTAAAGCCAATTGTGTGTGTGTGTGTTTGATGAAGTTACTTTCCCATAACGGGTTCCGATGACTAAGTGAGCAAGCTCCCCTGGATGTGGAGGGGGGGGGGGGGTGCCCTACTTTGGTTGATCCACATCTCAGTGTGGTCCCTCTTCTGCCCTCCATCCCTTTATCCCCTGTTGCTCGTTGGTCGCCTGGCAACCAGAATTAAATATAGGCCCACACTCTCCAAACTTTCCATCCTCTCCATCCAAAGCCTTTCTCTCCCCTCCACTATGCTTTTTCTATTCTTTGCACCTCCCGTTCTCTTCCTCCTCCTCCTCCTCCTCTTCACTCTGCCTTCCTTTCTCCTTCCCAATTCCCCATGGTGGAGACTTTAGGGATTTCAGGATGAAGAAATGGAAAACATTCCTCAAACCGCACAAACTGCTGTTGTCAAAAGCGATTTTCACAATGAGCCACTTGATGACCCAGAGAAGGACTCTGCCGGGAGCGTGCGCGCGTGTCCGTGCGCGCGTGTCCACCCTTGCGACGGAGAGGGTGCGAGGAGTGCCCTCTGTTCATTCATCCAGCTTTGGAGCACCCACTTGTTCACAGGGATCCCCCCCACCGGCCCCCTGCACTGCCAGCAAGCGCCGCTTTTGACTCGCGAGGTTCCGGCTCTGCTTTGTAACACGAGCCTCGTGGAAGGCCCTTAAAACAAACCGCGTTTTGTTTTTTTGTTCCTCTCCCCAATTTGCTGCCTGACTGATTCTCCTCTGTGATGAAGAGACGCGTTGCAGCTTTGCGATTAGTTGACCGTCTCAAAGGCAAAGCCTCTTAGGGGGCTGAAGCTGGTGTGATTGCAGGCGCTTCCTGCTGGGACGACCTGCACAGCAAACCGAAGACGGTGTCTTGGAACGCCGTCACATGAGGAATTTCGTCCTGTTCTGAGGCAGATGTGAGGCAGATGTGCTCTCATCAGCGGTCAGTGATCAAATCTGACATACAAACATGGCCCTTATTTAGGGAGCATCGCGATGGAAACATAAGAACACATCATCGATCTGGTATAAATTAGGTTTACTAGTTAATAGAGAAGTACGGGCTGTAGCTGCACCCTTTTTTTACACTCTTAGATTAATCTGAAAGTCCTTATTATCTCAGTTATGAAGAAATATTCAGGCTTATTTCTTTGTGTTTTAGAGCTACCCGCTGGCTGAATATTTGAAGCTATGTTAGCGACTGGACTGCAGGATCCCAGCACTAGTGGTTTTTATACCATTTCAATTAAATATTGAAGGATTCGATATGATAATATGACAATTCCAATTAATACAATTATTTTCTGCAGTAATCAGTAGTATTTTACTGTTTCTTATATGGGCCGGAGGCTCATCATTCTATCCATTTAGGCTTTTTTTTATTTCGAGCTAGTTGCTATGTATGTATGGTAACTTTTTAAAGTAATGTTATCAATAATTAAATAATCAGACTTATCTTTTTAGGAACTGGAAAAAATTACCGCTGTCATCTTTTACTATAAAACTATTGCAGACATCTGGCGCATTCGGGCTCGTTTTAGTTTTATCTTATTACTAGTAAATTCCTAAAATCTGTTGGTATTTTAAAAAGGCCAAAATAAACTTACCCCACTAGCAAGTCGTAGGACTTTTTAAAGCACGATTTAATAACCAGAGCTGAACACGTAGGGTACGCAGATCTTACCCTTTGTGACCTTTTGTTGTCTCATAAGTATGAGGTGAAGTTAAATCAACACATTATAACATAATCCGGAGGCTTCTCATGGGATTCATCTCGGGACTGGTGTTCTATCACAATGGGATCTGGGCTCGACGTTGCTTCAGGAAAAGCGGCTGAATAGATCTGCTGTTTCACTGAAGCCACAAAAGGACTGTTTTGGAAAGTACTTGAGGGCTTTCAGCGGCCACTTAACCGCCAGTCATTACAAGTACACAGGAGTCGTCGCTGCAGCCTCAGTGCTTTAGATACATTTAATAGATATTGGAAGTGTCTGCCGTTTTGACTTTTACAACAAACCAAGAAGAAGTGGGCCGAAGCTCTGACGGACTCGCGCTGTCTGCTTTCTGCTTCTTCTTTTTTTCTTAATGTGCATAGTGGGGGATTCTTGTCGTCATAAACCCTTGAAAGCAGTCATTCACGTGCTTGTGCGTCCTCTGGCAGGCCTGCATCGATGAAAACGCTGAGATGGTGCAGTTTCTGGTGGAGAGCGGCAGTGACGTGAACAGAGGGGACAACGAGGGCTGGACTCCTCTGCACGCTGCGGCTTCCTGCGGCTTCATCCAGATCACTAAGTGAGTGTTTACCAAAGACGCTCGCCGCCATTTAGCTAAACCAAAGTACTCGCCCCTTTCTGTTCTTATATTGTTGCATTGCAACCATGGATTTATGTAATGGACCCGCGTAAAATTCTAAGGAAGTGAAAAGGACAATTACCTCCGGCAGTCACACAATTGGTTAAATACAGTCCAGCTGTGTGCAGCTGTATGCGTCGGCCTGTTTTTAAAGACCCCGCAGTCTGCAGCGCTACTAAACGAGAGGCACCACGAAGACCGAGGTTCTCTCAGATCAGGGTTGGGATGCAAAAAAAACACTAAATCAATTACTACAAAATGAAAGGAAACATGGCACCACAACAGACAGAAAAAAACCCTCCACAGCAGAGATCTGTTCACTTTAGGGCCTGTTTCACCCCAAACGGCCCCAGGTATTTCAATGGAACATCAATGGAGTCCTCCAAATCATTTCTTCCAAACTCCAAATGTGTTCCAATAGTTTTTACTTTATTTTTTTGTGTTTTTGTAATAACTGATTTATTGGTGCTCCTCTTTTGAATTCATTCTCAAGTCCACACTGTGCGCTAGCTGTGTTTGTGGGTTTTATACCCCTTTTTATATTCTAAAGGTACCTGATCGAGCACGGCGCTCGCGTGGGAGCGGTGAACAGTGAAGGAGAGCTTCCTCTGGACGTGGCCACGGAAGACGCCATGGAGAGACTTCTCAAAGGCGAAATCAAAAAACAAGGTGAGCAATCGCTGCGGAGCAACACGAACTCTTCCCCTCCAGCAAGTCGGATGCTGCGTCCGGTTTGTCACAGTGTGTTGAACTGTTGCCAGTGTGCCTTCATTTTGATCTTTTCCTATTTTTGAAGCAGCATTTCTTATCATGGTTAATAGCCATGCAAAATAAACTGAGAACGTTTAGCAAAGTTTATTTTATCTCCCTGTTGAGTGGAGGTCTTTACCTGAAGGCTTTTGGCTATTTCACTATATATTCCATGTGGTTTGAATGAGTGGTTCCTAACATCTCCGGCGATGGTTAAGCTAATTTCTCTACAAGCGGAATAAATTAGGAACTCTCACTCTGAGTGAAAAAAATCCTGTCCATAAATGCCCCGAATCTGCTCTGCATTTTTGTCCTGTTACAAAAGTCACGTTTGAAGCACACATCTTGCTCAGAGAAGACAGAAATAGGCAGCGGAAAAGAGGACAGGGTCACTGAGCAACAGAGGTTTCAGGCTTGTGTCCTTGAGTACTGTCAACTATCATGCAGCTGACATCACCCGTGACAAATCTCAGGAATGATTCAGATTTTTAATATCAATGCATTTGTCTGTTGATTTTTTAAAGTTTTCACAAGCCGATTTCTGTCTTTCTGTGTGTCTGTGTTTTAAATTGCCACGGTTGCCCATGTGCATCACAGCAATCGACGTGGACGTGGCCCGGAAGGAGGAGGAGAGGGTGATGCTGCGGGACGCCAGGGCGGTGCTGGCGGGCGGAGGCACCCTCACGCCTCACCCGAACACCAAAGCAACCGCTCTGCACGTCGCTGCTGCCAAAGGCTACATCGAAGTCCTGAAGTGAGAATCCGTCCACACGCCGGGGCACAGACTGCCCGTTAGCTTCCGCCTTTCATTTGGCAGCACACACACACACACACACACACCCACACAGACCCTCCTGGATGTTCCTCACCCTCTCCTCTCTTCAGGGTGCTGTTGCAGTGCGGGGTGGACGTGGACAGCGGGGACATCGACGGGTGGACGCCGCTGCACGCAGGAGCTCACTGGGGGCAGGAGGAGGTGTGCTCCCTGCTGGCCGACAACATGTGCAACATGACCGCCGTCAACAACGTGGTGAGCTGCGAGGCGGAGCCTGCTTCTGCTCGGCGTAAGCCGCTATGTAAATCAAGTGCATTTTTTTATTTTTTATTCGCGGCGTGACTAACGATGCGCCGCGAATGTCCTTGTAGGGCCAAACACCTCTAGATGTTGCGGACGAGAACCTCGCGGACGCCCTGGAGGAGCTGCAGAAGAAGCAGAAGGCGGTGAGTGGGCCTTTCGCCCGAGGATCCACAACGATCTCGCTAAGTTAGATAAACCCGATGTGATTGATGGTTTTACAGCTGCAAATGTTCTCTGTGTTTATACGTGTTTATATTTCTCTTCAGTTACGCAGCGAGAAAGAGAAACAGACTCCTGTTATTGAGATCGGCCCGCAGATCTCCATGGTACCGCTTCGTACACGCAGGTCAGTGCCAGCGTGTTGGTGTGCGGGCATGTGTTTGTGTGTGTTTGTGGGCACACGCTACGCTGTTCCTCAGCGGATTCCCAGTAATCCCAGTGCCAGTAGTTTGCATGCAGGTGTGATGTTAGCAGTCTCCGCATTCCTTTGAGCCGCGCTGCATCCATCCAATGAAATTACAGTGGATGGATGTAGTTTGCAGAGTGTGACACCGTGTCCTGGAGAATGCTAAATGCTACGTTTGTTTTTCAAATTCATTTAAAAAAGGATATCAATACGTAAAAGTTCAAGTTACAAATTTGGATTATTTTGTCCTACACGACAACCAACACTGAAAAATATGAATTGGCCGTCACAAAGAATAGGGGGAGGAAAATAGGCTAATAAAAATGTAAACTAATGTATTTATAGGTCTTAAAATATAGATGTTTACGATGCAGATCAAATTCTCCATCACAGTATATGTAATCTATTGTTATGCATTAAATTGTCTGGAACTTTCCATGAACGCAGCAAATTTAATGAAGAGGAATTGAATGATTTCAATCTGACAGATCTGCAAAACGGAGTTTCTTTTTTTTTTAGCCAACTAAAAACAAACTAGTCAAGACCAAATGAGCTGATAAAGCTACACGGTGATCCGGTGATAAGACCGCAGTGCTACACCCTGCATCCCGGAGAGTGACCCACTCTCTCACCCACTGATGTGATGATCGGCGCATGCTCGCTCTAATTGGCTGCTCGTGGGAATGTTTGCCCTCACTGATCAGCTCCCTGCATGCCACCTGTTGTTCCACCCCACCTTGGCCCCGCCCCTGCAGGACTTCTATCTCTCGTATGAGCAGCAAAGACAAGATCTGCCTCCACGAGCGGGAGAAGCACCCACCTCCCGCCCTGCAGGGCAGCCCGGCCGAGGACGAGGAGGAGGAAGCCCCGACGGGACCGAGCCAGCCTCAGAGCCCGGGGAAGGCGTCCAGCAGCTCCAGCTCGGAGGTGGAGAGCGAATCGGAGAGCGACGCAGAGTCGGGTGAGAGGAGCTGCTCTGCCGTGGAGTGAAGTGAAGAGATCCGTTCTGTTTCACTGACCGGCATCTTTTTAACGGTGGGGTTTCTGATCTTTGCAGAAAAAGCAAAAAACAGAGAGCTCATTAATAACTTGAACAACAAACGCAACACCAGCAGCCTGCTTCCTACCTCCATGCCAACGAGCCCCGCAGCCATCCCAGCGAAAAAGGTACCGTATAAAGGGGGGGGGGCGCATCAAGCGCTTGCTTTCGCCGCATGGCGACACTGAACAAAAGACTTCTGCCGTCTCTGTAGCTGGACCGGGGCAAGCCCCCGGCCCCCGAGGCTCCGGGCTCCTGGAGGACGTCTCTGAGGAAGGCGGGAAGCTCGACGACTCTGGGCCTAGCCGGACTGTCCGAATCCAGCCAGGACCCCAGCAGACCTCCACCCACTGTGCTGGGCATGAGCCGCTCCGCCTCCAGTCCCCGCCTCAGCTCTGAGGCCGACGCCAAGGTGCTCGGCGCAGGCACACGCACCATTCCGGCACTCGCACACCCGTTAAAACCAGCGTCCAACACGCCGCCTTCTTCTACGGCTGCTATTCCCATTAAAAAAAAAAGCATGAACCGATCTCACCCGTTGTCCTCAGGAGCCGCGGCTCGCTCGGGTACCGCCCATCCCGACACGGAGACTCTTCAGCATCCCGGACAGCAGCTCTGACAACTCCAACAGGTGGGCCGGCGCTCGCGGATGCTTCTGCACTTTTGGGAATCCTGTTTCTGTTTTTCGGAGTCACTGCATATGTGTCCTTGTCTCCTCTCAGTTGGCTAAGTCGTAGCTCCTCTTACACCCGGCGCCTTCATAGTCAATCAGTGAATGATTTCACTAGTTCCACCCCCTCTTTGCTTCACAGGTCAGTCGTGCTGCTCACTGCCTGACTCGTATTTCTTTGCTCTCCCGTTATTGTGTGATTTTTGTTGTTGCTTTTGTCACAGCTAACCGTGTTGCCCCAGCAGTGAGTACTAATGTGTGTGTGTGTGTGTGTGTGTGTGTGGCTGTGCGTGTGGCTGTGAAAGGTGTCTTACCGATAAGCTTTGCTTTGTTTTCTAAGCTCATCTTATGGAAAAAGACTGGATGACCCCCCCGTGACCTCAGCAAACACAGGAACGAGCTCCGCTGGAATCAGCCGCCTTAATAGTGTCTCGTCCCAGAGGTCTTTCACTTTTACATTCATTTTCCAATTCATTTCCCTCACTCGTCTGAAAGATCTGTCGGCCACCTCTTACCCCCCCCCTCCCCTCCCCCACCCCCACCCCTGCCCTGCCCCGCCCTCCCTCCCGTCCCTCTCTTGTAGACTTTCTCAGGAACAGACAGAAAAGAAGGATCGGCCTGCTGTCACCACCTCCTCCAACTCTCAGAGCACAGGAGAACAGGAGGCCAAGCAGAGGCGCAACTGAGCCGTGCACGTGTGTGTGTGTGTGTGCGTCCGTGTGTGCGCGTGCGTCCGTGTATCTGCTCATGCTTGTAAATGGTGGCACTGCGTGCAATGTAAAGGCGCGTGACTTGTGTAGATCGTACCTGACGCCGGTGCGGGACGAGGAAGCCGAGGCGCAGAGGAAGGCTCGCTCTAGACACGCGCGGCAGTCCCGCCGCTCCACTCAGGTACGAGCCGCACTGCGTCCACAGAGCCGCTTGCAAATGTGGGTCTGGTACATGCGTCATTTTCCTTTTTTTTTTCCATACATGAAGGGGGTGACGCTAACGGATCTGCAGGAGGCAGAGAAGACGATGAAGACGGACAGCAAAGCGAGAGAAAAGAAGAAGGAGGAGGAGGAGAAGGAAAAAGAGAAGGAGGCGAAAGCGAGGAAGGGAGAGGAGGGGGTGAGACCCATATATCAGAGTTATAGCCCCCCCCCCCCCCGTGCTGGCCGCTCTTACATAACGCCATGTGACATCACAGCAGGGGATACTGTGTTCGCAGGAAGTCAGCTGGAGGTCTCGTATCGCCAGTCTGCAGAAGTCCGACCTGCTGGGCCTCACGCAGCCCGCCGGCACGCCCCGCCCGCCGACATCGGACCGGAGAGGTACACGCCATCCGCCCATCCCAATCTAACGGCGCGCGCAGCCGGACAACGAGTCGGTGCGACGTTTGATTTTCACTTTTGAAACGGCCGCTGTCTGGCTTCGTTCCAGCCGTGGAGGCCAGCGCAGGGGAGAGCGAGACGGAGCGATGGGCCAGAGAACGCAAGGAGAGGAGACAAGCTCGGGCCAGAAGGAAGGCACAGAGGACCGGGGAGGTAAACGCCGTATAAAGAAATGCGAAAGAAATAACAGCCATATTGTTACTTGACTTCAGCATTTGATGAGAGCACATTGTGGTGTCTGTGACATCGGCAGAGCGATGACAATTGTCCCAGTGGAGAGGAGGAGGTCTCAGGCAGTGGGCTGGATCCACAGGTGTGTGTGCTTTTATTTTTGGTTGCAGTGGACGGTAGCAATAAGATTCCAGACGTAACTCGTTCTCTCCTCGTCCTCTCTGCTTTCAGACGAACCAACACCCGAGTTCCAGGTAGGAATTCTTTAGTTTGAGTTTCCCTCGTCTTCATTCTGCCAGCAGAAGTCTCATTGATAGCCGTGTCTCTGATCTCCGGACCCCCACCAGGTCCTTGAACGACTGCACCCAGGGAGGAGTCTCCGACGGCAAGGAATTTAAGAAGGTCCGCCGACAGAAGCGACACAGGGAGAATGTTAAAAAAAAAAGTTGTTTTTTATCCTGTTTGTCCCACTTGTTCACTGCTGTGTTTGTTTGCGTGTCAGCTGTTCGAGGACGTCTCTAGAGAAAACACTCAGCTCCAGTCTCAACTGCAGGACACCCAGAGGATTATCAGTCAGACCAGGTTGGATCTGGAACAGGCCACACAGGTGACAACACACGCACACACACACAAATGATAACTGGGACTACACACACTGTAAGACGCCGCGTGCAGTCAGAAGCATTTGAATGCGATATGATCAGTGATCCACAGTTTACGTAACTATTGTTAAAGACCAGTTACGAACCTCCTTTTTTCTTTCAATTCCATTTTGAGCCGGCTGTCACTTTTTACACTGACTCCTCAAACTTTATTTTGTTCATTCATTGATTGAAACAAAATATCATATACCTCTGGAAGGAATCGGAATTTCCTCAAATTTTTGCACAAACGTTAACTTAAAGATGATAAACATAAAGAAACCGTTCCAGCTGCTTAGCTTAGTTTAGGAACTAAGAGGCTCCGTCTAAAGGTAACTTCAGTCTCGGGTCAAATAATAAGGAGCGATCGCTCATCCCTGGATACACAAATGAACCAGTAATTCTAGTAGATTTGGATCTAGGTTTAATCTGTCCGACATCCTTTTTGAAGAATTGCAGCTTCGCTTTCATCTTTGCACTCAGGAGTTCTGCCTCTGTAGCCTTACTTGGTCTGGTATGACTAGTAGCTAATGGTAGCTAATGTTAGCGAACATAAACAATGTTGCGTAACTGACTTTTGCAACTTTTGCGACCACTTGTGCTGATGTTACACCGCGTCTTACCCGTTTACCATCATGCCGCTGTAGACACAGGGGTTGTTGTCTCGCTTTAACTGGAACCGCGAAGGGACATCCGCATCCACGCCCACTGCTGAGGTTGACGTTGTCCCTTTTCTTGTGTCCCAACAGAGACAGGAGCGCTTCACCGACTGTTCAGCCTTGCTGGACCTGGAGAGAAAGGTAATGCATCCCCACCGGCGGTCTTAGCGGTTGTTCTCTCTGCACACGTGAATGAAAGGGGCGCGCACCTCGTCAGTGTCCGTCCGGCGTACCTCCCATTCCCCACCAGCCAACCGCATTGTGTGTTGTGTGGCCAGAGAGTGCTTGCGCGCTCACGGACTGCTTTGTGGTTGCGGTGACTCGAGCTTTTTTTAACCCAGAGTACCACCGAGTGCGTGCGGACTCCTAGCTCACTGCTATTAACCAGCCGCCGGGCGGTACGGTTCCACTAGGGATGACACAGCTCAGTGCATCTCCAACCCCCACAGTTTGCAGTGTGTTTTGACTACTAGCACACGCACACACACACACACACACGCACTGCTGCCTACGTGTTTGGCTAACTGCAGCCAGCAAGTGGAACCACCAAGACTAAAACTGCTGAGTGCTTGGCCGTGGCCATTTGGATGCAAACATCGCTGCTTGTTTTTTAAGGTTTGAATGTCGGTTGACTTTTTCTGTGCTCTTTGTTTGGCGACTCACTGACATAAAAACACACACACACACACACGCCGCTGGCTTTGGAGTTTGAATGCAGTGTTTTTGTTTCATGACGCGTCTAGATGTGGACGGGGGGAAGGGTGGCGGGGGGGGGGGGGGTTGTTGGTTCGTAGTCATTCAATCACACAGCACATGCAGACATAGCTGGTGGAGATCTGCACTTTACCGAGTGCACCGAGTTCCCTTTGTTGCTTTGACTGCCTCACGACCGCCACCCCTGCCATCTGACGCTCTTTCTCCCCCCCTCCCCCCCCTCTTCTTCCACCTTAAACCACTTCCTCACCTGCTGTCACTGACCTTGTGTGGTCCTTCTTCCTCTCTTCACCTCCCCCCCCCTCCCTCACACCTCCCTCCTTCCCACACACTCGTCCTCACGTTTCCGTGGCGTCAGGACCGCAGGATGTTGGAGCGTCGGATGGCCGAGCTGGACGAAGAGCTGAAGGTGAGGAGACGAGTCCTTATCACGGCCGCAGACACTTTGCATGCTTCTGCTTGATTAGCTTGGCTTTAGCAGCGTGTGGAGGAACACGGTAGAGATGTTTGACTCAGAACGCTCGCGCTCCACCTCTTCTTTTCACTGGGGGTGATGTTTTCTGTTCCATGTCATTACTGTGGTTGTCTTTCGCATTAATGGATGTTTCTGTTTGTCTACCGAACAACTGCCTCGAACCCATCTGATCTCTGCGCTCTCACAATTTTGTCTGATAATTGTCTGACGTCTCCAGTAATACAGAATGAATAGGTAAAGTCCTCTTCTCTAAAGGAATATTTCAGTATTTTGGGAAATATGCTTTTGATTCCACTTGGCTGGCAGCTGCTTAGCTTAGTTAGTCCAGGGCGATGACATGAATCAAGGAGAGGCTCCGTCTAAAGGTAACTTCCTACTCCTGGCTAAAGTGGGGAGCAATCAATCATACCTGGATATTCATATTTATTTTGTATAGAAACTAGTGTTATTGACAAAGCAGGTAAACATTTTCTAAAATGTCAAACTGTTTATTTAAATGTCTAACCAACTGATCAAAACTCAACTGTATTTAACATAGTTATGTGTCCGGCCTCATTTTTTAAATTGTGTGTTGATAGATTTGTTAGTACCATTTATTAATATGAATAGACAGTAAAAACTACCTACAGTGTGTAATCCTACCGTCCCAAACCAAACCAGCCATAAAATCATCAAACTGTTTTTACGTTTAGTTTTAACGCACGCATAACTCTTACCACCAGGTTCTGGTTGATTTGAGAGCCGACAACCAGCGTCTAAAAGATGAAAATGGAGCACTGATCCGTGTCATCAGCAAACTCTCCAAATAGGTAGAGAGCGAGACACAAAGACCAGGGAACCCCCTCCCCCTTCATCCATCCATCCATCCATCCCTCTCTCCGTGCTTCCACACATTCCTCCAAGTGCCAAATAGTGAGAGGGAGGGAGGGAGGGAGAAGTGGCAGAATGTCCTATGTACATGAACACCACAGCTTGGATTGTGATGCCTCTATGAGAACAGCTGGAGTGGATTTGTGTGCCTTGCAGTCCGTTTGTAAAAGGAAGACCTACAGCACGAAGGCCTGTGACCGGGTCCGAGGCTCCCACAGTAGCAGCATGAGCAGCAGCAGCAGCCCCAATGCCCACAGCTGGTGCACCACACAACCCCATCTACTACGCCTGTGCATCAGGGGAACACTAACGTGCAAACACATTCCTATGAGTGCATCACATACTTCCTCTATGCACATTCCACGAGCGCACAAGCCGGCTTTGGCCTTAAAGCTCCCACTTTGTGTTTATTTTTTTTGTGAACACACACACACTTCACGAATTTACCATAATCACAGTTTCAATTGAACGTGTTGTCAAGCAGTAAAGGTTTTGGTGAAATTCAAGTTTTGTCTTTTCTTTTTTTTTTAATGGCTGTAGAAAAGATGTCTGGCTGTGTCTTTACATTCAGCGTCGTCCTGCCGACGGGGGGTGGGTGGGGAGTGGGAGTCCACAGAACTGTTGGGTTTTTTGGTCTCCACATCCGAGTGTTTGAACCCACCTACCTCTCCACCTGTGCACTTCCCCACATACATTTGTGTTTTTGTGACCACAGACACACTTCATGCTCTTAAGAATGACAGAACCAGGTCAGTCGATCACAGCACTTTACTCCTTTGCAAAGCAATAGAAGGTGTGCGACGCTTTGCGTGTCCTCCACACAGACAAACACTACTCTGTGGGGGGGGGAAGTTAACCATGGCTGAAGGTCAAAGGTCATTGCACAGTTATACCAATTGCTGTTGTGTCAAAGCCTTATGCTATGGATTGTTTAAAATATTACCATTGATAAATGTATTATTTTCATAGTTTGTCATTGTCAATTCCTCTACAATGGATTATGGTAATGTATATTATATGTGTATAAATATTAGTCTTGAATAATACCCCCTCCTGAAGTAAAATACCATGTAGCTTTTCTTCACATGTTTTTTCTAATATATTGAATGGATGTCTGCACCCTAATAAAGAGAAGTGTTTGTAGAGCCTTCCTGCTTATTATGTACACTGCATGTCGTATTCACCGCAACCGGTTTGTTGAGTCAACATCACATTTGAGCTCTCGCAAGGATGTAGCCTCCTAATGTTGTCTCCCTCCATAACACCAAATCCTACTCCGAGTCCCTCCTCGTATTTCATGTTGTAACCAATGGAGTCATCGGATGAGCGGCCCTCTGCTTGTTTCACCCGCTTTGTATCATCCCTGCTTATACAGTCGTTCTGGTTGCCAGATGTCCTTCATCACCAAGGAGGGGAAAAAAAGAGGAAAAAAAAGCGCTGCAACACAGCGAGCATAACGGCGGTCTGCAGATGTTTCTGCAGTATGTCGGGACTGTTGCATTCCTCTGCTGATGCTCCCAGGTGGACTGTACATCATGAGGTGCTCCACTGACATGATGGTCACTGACGGCTGGATAAGAGCTCCGTAGACCCCCGTCCCCCTCCTCCCCCCCATTGTGTTTTTGAGCTCTCGTCTTGCACTGAAGTGTGGTTAACACCAGTCATCCATCTGTTGGTCTCATCTGAGGGAGCAGAGAGATGGACCCACTTTCCTGCAGGGGAGAAAGGCCGGACAAGCTGCGCTCCTAATAAGGAAGGGCAGGCCGGCTCCCTTCTGTAAATATCCCTCAGGTCTGAGAAAGACAAGAGGAAGGGAGCTAGGGGAGGAAGAGGGAAGCGGATGGATTGCAGCCTTATATGGACAAAGCACTTATTTTCCCAGGGTTTGTAGCTCTGACCGGAGGCGGGTTGCCAGACGCTTCAGAGGCAGCTCCTCAGCGCCACCAGGCGGAGAAACTAACGGAATGCTACAAAAAAGACTGAAGAAGGTGGAAAAGGAACATTGTACATGTGTTTATACCCTGATTTTCAAACACTCACAAATTAAGATATTTTAACTATTGACATTACTATATTTTGGTGAGAGGAGCACTGAATTTAAATTCCCACGGAAGCTATTTGAAGCCAGTAAATAGTTTTTCCCCAACGGAAAGCCAGGGGCTACAACAGATCCTCCAATATTAATAATTCATGTTTATTCATATTTTATTTCTACTAAGCTTTGAAAACCCGATCTGATGAGTGCTTAAACTTTATCATGGGGAAAGTATCCCAGCATACTGGTCGGCTTTTAAGACAACAAAGGGTCTGTTAAGTGTTCTCACCAGAGAGACTTTCAGTAGCCTAGAAGGTTTACATCTCCTAAGAGGCTTTACTTTGGCTTTTATCCCATACAAATGCATTTCGTGGTTGACAAATGATTGTATAAATTGGTCTCGGTGAGGAGTACAATAAAAGGGCCAACAGCAGAAAGGTAAAAAAGAGAGGTGGGCGGACTGGTAAGCCAAGTCAAGTCAGGACATGATTTAGTTTGGAGAGAGTGACGTGACTTCTCGGAAGAGATGGGATGAAAATGTAAACACTCCAGCAATGAGCTACGGAGTCTCTCTACAGTCCCAGCCAAGTGGTCCTGATGCTTTGATGGAGAATGTGAACACGTGGCAGCCTTACTGGCCTGAAACTGTGACCAAATGTAGTATAAGGGGTAGAGCGGGTGCACTGGGAACCGCAAGGTTGGTGGTTTGAGTCCTGGCTGCCCCGTGTCTCGAGTCACTTTGGATAAAAGCATCAGCTAAATGACCTGTAAAGTAGTATATATTCATATCGTTAAGACCTTTTGCTTGAAGCTGGGAGATGACATCATACATACTTGTGCACTTAACATTCACTAAAATGAAATGAGCATGCTCAATCTAATGGTGACCTACCTAATAGGCACAACTGGCTTTAGAAATACTACTAATAAATCCTCATTCTCTGCAAGAGATCCGGGCCATGTTTTTCAACAGACCCATAATCCAAAGTCCAGGTTTTCTTTGTAGCACAAAGGGGTCCAAGCCCTCCCACTGCGGTTGTAAATACGACACAACTTGGACTCACTTTATCCAAAAGCTTTTGAGTCCTTTGCTTTCTGTAGACATGGACTTCAAACGGAATTACAGTACATGAGCTCTTTTTTGTAAGTTGAACCGTTCAGAACGAACGGGTTTGGACCTTCTGCAGGTTTTGTCTCCAATTTGCTTCATCAGCATTCCTCTTTGTTGTAAAAGCAGATGTTTCTTCCAGTCTGCTGAGTGTTGAAAGGCTTTATGCTGGATGCTTATGCAGAGTCTTTCACAAGTGGTTTAGCGTATTCCCTGAGATTGTATGTTACCTTATTTCCCTTCAATGTAATGAATACTGTAATGCATAATTACTGAGCAGCTTCATTCTGTTTCTGTTTTTGTTGGAGTTGGTCCTTTTTTATGAGATTCCTGTTCACCTACTTGCTTCATGATGTCTTCAGATGTCACACGTCTTGTGACACATAAGTGTCAAAGTACACCGTCTACAAATAGCCGCAGTCGGGAACCTGTGGAAAGTCTGTGTGGTTCCACAGGAGTCTCTAAAATTCTGATATTTTAGTTTTCGTAATATAGCATGAATACAGCACATAAACATAATAATGTCTCATTTTGAAATATTGATGTTGTCAGAGCATAACTTGTATTATGTGAATAATCATTTATTGTTGAAGGGCTGGGACCTTCTCGACAAACCATGACTGCGTTTGGGAAACCGGATTTCCAACCGAACACCATGTCCTACGCTGAAGACCCTTACATCTTCTCCACCGACACTCTGCCCAGTGACCGCCGCTTCCTCCCTCCTCTAGCCAACGGGCTGCTGGGATGGAGGGTGTACGACAATATCATGCACATGGGGGGGGTGTATAACGGGGAGGGTGGACGTTGCCACCGTGCAGATGTCCCCTGTCCTCTCAACGTGGAGGTTGAGATGGACGGACCAGCCCAGCACACCTACTGCCTGGACACCCACACAGGTCGTCTCTGCAGTGTTTGACTGTCTGATGGCAGGAATCTGTGTGGTGAAGAATTATCACGACTGATTGTCTCATTTTCTCATCCAGGCATTTTTACCCACAGCCTGAGCTCGGCAAGAGCAAAGGTATCACAGTCTCTGTATTCGCACCGATACTACACCAACCTGATGGTGATGGAGATTCTGTTGGTGCGGGAGGGGACCTCGGAGGAGCCAATCACCGTGAATCTGGTCAGCTCATTCACACCTCAAAGCAAAGACATTGTCTTTGACTCTTGTCCTGATTACAAAGGAGGAAGGTAAAGTCAACAAAAGCTCATGAAAATTGCATATTTTTGACCACAGTATAATTCTGACATCTCACACAGTCTACACACCCCTCTCCCCCAGTCACATCCAAGGAAAGGTGGCCACTGCCGAGTTCCCAGGAGGTTCCTGTCCAACGGTGCACCTCATCTGGACCCCTAAACCCCCCACTCTGACGCTGCTTCCAGAACAGCGTCAGGCTCGTTGGGCCTTCATCCTGGTTGCGGCCAACAGTTTAGAAACAGCTGAGGCCAATTATGACAAGGGCCTGGATCTGATAGCCACTGGGGACCTGCGCCCATCTCACGAGAAGGCTTGGAAGGAACTGTGGCTGGAGAGCACGGCGGAGGTGGTGGGGTCAGAGACCCTCTGCAAGGCTCTGATAGGCTGCATGTTTTACCTCCTAAGCGCCTTCCCGTCCATACATGACACCTCCAGCTCTTTTGGTGGAGTCAGTCCAGGCGGACTGTCTAATGGTGGGGATGGGCAGGACTACTGGGGGCACATCTTCTGGGACCAGGTAAGGCCAGATTCTGTTGATGACCAGCTATTTTATTTGCATGGTGTTTGTTGCGGTTGTCTGATTGATCACACGATGACCCCACCTTCCTGTGAAAGGATATTTGGATGTATCCCGGCATAGCCCTCTTCTATCCCAAGCTAGCCCGATCCGTGCTGGAGTACCGGGTGGGGACTATAGAAGGGGCAAAAGACAATGCCCAAAAGCAGGGCTTTAAGGTATGATCATCAGTGAGTTACTAAGGTGCCTCCATCATGGCGCCTCTACCCTCACTGACTATGCAATACACAACTATGCAGTGAGTCAAGCACATTCCTAACGCAGAGGAAGAGAAAAGTGGGTCTTTGTAGCTTTTTTACTGGGAGAAGCTGTGAAACTGTAAAAATGTTTGGATAACACATGAGACACTAGTTGGAAAGGATTTGATAAAATACATTAAAGGTAGAGCATGTGTAACAATTACAAACACAGGAGCTGGTTAGCTTAGCGTAGCAGCTCAATTTAGCTGTTGTTTTAAACAATTCCTTAGAGCGTCGTTGTGAACAGAAGAAAAATAAGAATGCCTGCAGAAATAAAAATAGATAAGATAAGCTGCATTACATCAACAGTTAGCCAAACAGTAATTCAACATTTCTAGGGAACTTTTCCTAGCAGCACGTTAGCGTCAAACAGCTGGGCACCGACCCAGAAAAGCAAATCGTAGCGTTGACAGTGTTTGTATTTAGCACCGATACTCGTTTTGTGTGTGCTCTTGTGTTACATTTCAACAATAACCACGAAACTGTGTATTGAGTCTTCTGATGAAAAGGTGTTTTCTTCACAGGGACTGAAGTTCCCGTGGGAGAGTGCTGTGTCTGGGAGGGAGGTGTGTCCAGAGGACATTTATGGACAACAAGAGATTCACATAAATGGAGATGTCACCCTGGCCTTCCAACACTATCTCTACCTCACTGAGGTATAGTCCTTTATCCCCCCCCATCACAGTGTCTGGGGCCTGCGGGAGGTCTTTATTTGAGTTCTTTGTTGCAGGATGTGTCCATGTTTGCAGAGGGCCGGGGCAGCGAGGTGATCTACGGTGTGGCAGATTACTGGGTTTCTAGAGCGTCGTGGAACCCTGAGGACAAGAAGTATCATCTCCTAGGTGACAGAAATAGAACAAGGAGAATGCACTTTAAATACACGATTAAGAGGAGCATTATTCTACAGAAGCTAAACTTAAGAACTTCTGACCTCTCTCTTACAAATCACGCCAAATGTAAAGTAACTGCCATGTCCTTTTTTTCCCAATTCACTTTTGTTTTGTATCGTTATTATTTTATTCATTATTTCATTATTTTCTATTTACATTTGTATGCACATAAGTTACCTAAAAGGATAATACAAATTAATGTTGTGACTGTCCTTACGCATAACTACTGTATATTTATATACTCTTCGTTAATTAATTCCAAGGTTAATTCTATCAAAGTCTCTTCTTTTCCTTTCAGGTGTCATGCCACCTGATGAGTATTACTACAATGTCGACAACTCTGTGTACACCAACACAGTGGCCAAATTCAGGTACCAGTATGCGTACATTTCCCTGCAGTGCATATTTCCCGGTGATTACCAGTAATACAAAACGTTTCTCATTCGTCAGTCTCCAGTTCGCTGTAGATTTGGCCGACCTCCTCCAACATCCGGCACCTGAAGAATGGCAAGAAGTGGCCCAAAACCTCAAAATACCTTTTGAGGAAGAAACCCAGTACCATCCTGAGTTCGATGGCTATGTCAAAGGTCATCCAGTGAAACAGGCCGACACGGTGATGTTGGGTTATCCTCTTGGACTGCCGATGACCCCAGAGATCAGGAGAAATGACCTTGAAGCGTATGAACCAGTGACGGACCCTAATGGTCCGGCCATGACCTGGGTAAGACACAGCATTACTTTGTGGCTATATGATTAATCGATTGTCAAATGCACTCACTTTTTTAATTGATTTGTGGAGTACAACTGTGCAATGTTGAAGTAAGTGAAGTAAATCCAGAGTAATACCACTATGTTAAAGATACTTAATACTTAATATTTCAAATCTTACTTTCCGCTTCTCTCTAATCCATAGTCACTCTCAGCTCTACATGCCAGTTGTTTCTCGTGTTTTTCAGCTAATTTTTAACGATTTATGAGCAACTTTATGGTTTGGGTTGACCTCCACAGCTCTCCTCTGCATGGTTTTCAGCAGCAGACAGCTGATTTTGGCTTTAACACTGAAGAACCTGCAAAGCGTGACACAGTTTAACAGACATTTTTTTAGGGGGTTGAGGCCATTAAAAACAGAGCTAAAAGAGGGTGATTATTGGCCTTATGATTCCTTATGAATGCTAATGATGCTCTGTAACTGTTTTCTAACAAATTAGTCACAACAGCTTTATAGGATAATATAAAAAGAATAAAGGAACGTATCTTTTATATAAAAGTATTTAATTATATTATTACCGAATTATGCAGTGGCTGCTCTTGGTGTTTAAACAGTTCATCACATATTTTCTTAAACCAAATTATGCAATTAAACTAGTACCAATAGTTGTCAGGTAAAATTGTTTAGATTATTGGTTGTATTGGTTGCCTGAAGTGCACATAAATGATGTTTTACAGCGTCTACTCGCATTAAATTTGAAAGTTGGTTGTTGCTGTTTCTTCTTTCTTATTACGTGTTTATTTGTACCAATGCTTCTGCTTTCCATCATAAGGGAATGTTTGCAATCGGCTGGCTGGAGCTGGGGGAGGCTGAGAAAGCTCAACATTTACTTGACAAGTGCTACAAAAACATCCAGGGACCGTTCCAGGTTTCCTTCTGACTCACACAGCCACATCATGCTCTTAAATGTCTTTTACTGGACATCCAGTGAATGTGTGATTACCTCTCCTGGCAGGTATGGAGTGAATCATCTGATGGCTCTGGTGCAGTCAACTTTCTCACGGGAATGGGAGGATTCCTGCAAGCTGTGCTGTTCGGCTATACAGGCTTTAGGTCTGTTCACAATGAGAAACACCTCAATATGTATAACAGCATGTGAGCTGTAAAAAGAAAGATTGACATGCTGTGTTTCTTTCTAGAGTGCAGAAGGAATGCTTGGCCTTTTCCCCACTTCTTCCAGAGGGCATTTCTGAGCTGTGCATTCGTGGCGTGAACTACCTGGGCTCTCAGATGGACTGGCTGCTGAGGAAAGATGAAGTTTGCATCGTGCTGAGGGAAAAGGCCAGCACTAAGTCATGTGATCTGCAGCTTGTTCTCAAGGCATCGGGAACTAAAATCCCTCTCACACCAGGTGAAGCACACACTACTAAAAACATGCAGTGAAAGTTTTTTATTTTTTTTAATTCATCCTTAGGTTTGTAGGTTACTATTAACAAACCCACCTAGCCTTCCGAACTACAGAGAAATATTGAATATAAACATGATAAGTACAAAATAATGATAACAACAGTATGACATTAGTTCAGCTGTATGGCTCCGTATTTGAGTCAGAAAGAGTGTGATCAGAAGGAGGATTCTATCCTCAACTGCATGCATGACAATTAATACTCAGGAGATGCATTGATTGATTATTATTGATTTACTAATATACATCTATATTTTCAGGGAAGGCGGTAACCTTTCCTCGAGAGTCCGGGTGTGTTTGTAAACTGGCTTCGGCGTATTCCTGTTGGCCTCTCTGAAACAGCGAAAGACCCTCCTCATCATTTACCTGCAATTAAAAATATGTCATATCCAAGCTACTGTTAAGTTGCATGTTCCCATTTGATCGAGAATTAACAATCATTGACAAAATGTATGAAATTCTTATATTATTAATATTATAATACGCCCATTAACCATTAACCAAGTTTGTATTGTATATTCAAATAAACTACTTCCATTATGTGCAAATCTTAATTGTTCCTTTGGCTTTCCATCTCTTTTGGATTTGTTCTAAGGAGTAAACACAAAAACATTTAACCTGTTCAATACCTGATATGTCTGATTATCATATCCGGTTGCTTTTTTATTGCAGTGTGCAGAAGAGGATGTGACATTGACCTGAAAAATATTAGTTGTCTCTTATATAAAAACTGTCTGTGCCACTCGAAATGAAATAACTGACAGAAGAGGAAGGCCGTGTTAAAACATGTTGTGAGTAACATTGACGGGGCGGAGCACATCCTGCCGAATATCTGTTGGCTGATTTAAAACGGATCGCGCTGTAACTCCGCCCTAATGTTTCGATGGGGTTGCTCGATTTGCTTTCACATGTTGACGGTTTCCCACCGCGAGCTGCGTTTATGGTGTTTCAATCCTCAGGCTCCGCCCTGAAAGATAACCACGACATCCAAATCGAGCATCCCCTCTCAAACGTCACTGAGTCTCACCTCCGGATTGGCTGGCGAGGTTTTGAACAAGTTAAACGGTTTCAGCGGGTTAGTGTGCAGGATTGCAGTTACTGTCCGGGAGATTCAGGTTGTTTAGCGTTAACACACGAGCTGTAGGGAAGTAGTGCCCGCGTTATTTTAGCCCATTTAAGTCCACCTCAGCATGCGATTGATTTAAAGTAAGCAGACCAACGAGCATCGGATTCCTTTTTTTAAAGAATCGGGGATCAAAGGTAACGCTATTTATTCTGTCCTCCAAGACTATCGTTAGCTAAATTGTTGTTATATGACTAACATGAGCCATTTAAGACAAGGCAGAGCAGTTCCAACATTTAACGTTGCCACCGACTAAGTTGAAATAACTTGAATTCATCGTGTCTAATTATGTCTTAACGTTAGCTAACCGTATTAAGCTAACGTTAGCACTTTTCTGTGACGTATCGTCGTTTTTCGCTTTTTGTAGTGCTTCACGTTAGCTAAGCTACCTGGTAGACGGCAGCTAATCTTCTGATAATACAAACTCAATACGCGTATTTTTTTCGACACATATTGTTGTTGAACAAGTACTTTCTACAACACGACCCAAACCGCAAAAAAGAAGGCAGTGCGCATGCACCATTTAACGTCAGTCGCATTTGAAAAAAGGATCTGACAAGGAGAACAATAAACGCTCCAGTTTGGTGTCCGTTACCTTGCTTTTCACTATGGAAAAAGTTTGCATTATCCACTAAAAGTCAAAAGCTCATTTACTCTGAATTGGGCGTGACTACAAAAGGCTTTTTGATTGTTCCATATGTTTGTAGAGTGATGTTAAATATACATGTGTGTTAATATAAAGCGTCAATAGTAAATGTTTTCTTGCCAAAATTCGAAAGGGGCCCTTTTCCACCTGTAAGATGCATGATAAAGTTCGCCGTCTGAGATCTGCGAGTGCGTTATAAATAAAATGTATTATTATTTATTATGAAGTGCCATTAAGGAGGTTTTATTTAAGGCTTTTTGGAACGCTTGAGCTAAACAGAAAATATAGTGTCAAAACAACTAGTCTGGGCTTTATGGCTGCTTAAATTAACAGATTGAGATTAATTATTAAAAATCTAATCAAAGATTAACAGTGCAATCTTTTCCTCAGGCCGTCAAGATGAACTCCGTACAGTCATCCGTACGATCCCTCATGCAACTGTTTGATGGTAAAGCACAAGAATTTACCAATGACATTATTACTGTCCACATGGTTTGGCTTGAGGAGATCCAACAGGAGGCCAACCGAATGTTTTCAAGGTAGGTGTAAAGTAACGTGAAAGATTTTATTTGCGTTATTTGTTTTGACAAGACAAGAAATTTTCCTTTTACGAGTGAAGCTGTTTATTTTTGTTTCAGAGAGTTTAATGCGGAGCCAGAATTAATGCCAAAAACCCCGTCGCAGAAAAAGAATAGTCGAAGGAAGCGCGTGTCTTTGGGGCATCAGGAAGAAAATCAAGCCAGGCGAAGGTTTGTTGCTCTCATGGCTGTTTTAGGAAAGTTCAAGTTTCACATTCAAATTGTGACTAGCTCTTCCTGTCCAGATTTTCAAAGGGAAAGCGTAGCAACCTCCGGGGCTCCTCTGTCAAATCATTGCACTTCATCGCCGAAGAAGAGACCATTTCCACCTCTGAAGCAAACGCCACCACCCAGCCCAAGCGCGCCACCCGCAAAAACAAACAAACCACTGCGGCTGTGCCAGAGGATGTGAGCCATTCAGGTTCTCCAACTGAGGATGTGCAGAACAAGAAGCCGGAGCTGGTGGCGGAGAAAGAGGTTGACGAAATCAACAAGGTGAACGATGCAGAAGACGAGTTGCTCCACAGGGGCACCTCCCCTCGGACCCCGCCAGCAATACCCTCCCCCGAGATCGTCGTCAGCATCTCGTCGTCGGAGCGATTGTCTGCAGAGGGCGTCATCAGTCGGCTGCCTCTCTCCCCCGGCCGCTCAGCCGCCAAGATTGCGATAGCTGGCGCGGCTCCAAGCTCTCGGCGCAGCTCGGTGCGGTGCTCCCTGAAGCTCCGCCACTCGCTGGCCGGCCTGCGGCACAGCATGACGCAGGAGTCGGTGCGTCGCGCCTCGCGCCGCTCCATGCTTAAGAGGAAGGTCTCCCGCATGGGCAACTCGGTGTGTAGCAGCAATGTTGATGGTGAGAAATGATCAGTTTTCGGATTATCATAATGTGAGAATCCCCGAGACGTTCTATCACTGTCTTGATGGTTGTTAATTTGTGTATTTAATCAAAAGTATTTAATTTAAACTTTGTGGTTTTAGAGGAATCCTGCGCCGATTCTGCAGAGGAGGCGCACAAGGAAAGGTGAGTGATGACAAACTTGTTCATCCGAACGTAGAAAGATGTACTGTAAACAAATCTGGTGTTTTGAATCCATCATTTCACATTGACCGGTGAATTAATTTGTCACACTTTACATGTATTCAGTGTTCTTTTGTATGTTTTTAAATGATTCTTCTCACTCATTCATGTATTCCCTGCTATAGCATGTTAGATGCTGTGAGCGTAGACACGGAGGACCACGCTGCAGCTCAAGAATGGAAGGAAATGCCAGAGGTATTTCTATATGGATTTGTCTATTTAAGTGTGAAGCTGAAATTGTATTGTATTGGTATTTTGGTAATATTCAACTGATTTTCTTCTTTTGCATCAAACAAATGTAGATCCAGGTGAACCCGAGCCCCCGTCTGTCCATTGGGCGCGTCACCCGGTCTGTGGCTGCAACCTCTGCCGCGCTGGCCCCCCTGCCATTGTTCAGCACTGAACAGAGAGTTTTGACTCCCGGAAAGACAACAGGCATGACAACCTTTATTTGAGTTGATCGTAGTGGTTGAAGCAAATCTGGATCGATATCTAATGCTACTTGCATGTGCTGACTACGCGTTTGTGTTTCAGTTACTGAGAAGCCAACTCCAGTGTCCGGTCCCAAGTGAGTTTTGTGCGTGTGTGTGTGTCTGTGTGTGTGTGTTGCACGGTTTAATACATTCTTTGTCTTAAAAACAATTCTGTGTTTCAAGGTCGCGTCAGAGTACCAAGCGCAAAGCACCAGATACTGTAGAGGAAAGTCCAACAAAGAGGCGCTCTCCTCCCAAGAAAAGTCAAAGTGTAAGATTGCAAAAAGTGTTTTACGGTTCAGAAATGGTAACTATTGGTATATATTCAAATAATGAGTGGTTAAAATGGTAATCCTTTTGTCCTCTTTTGTTACCAACACATAGGCAATGAGGCCCAACATGAAATCCTTTCTCCACACTGTGCAGAAGAATCAAATGCTAATGATGACGCCGAATTCCCTCGGCCGCTCTGCTGTCATCAAGTCCTTCATTAAACACACCACTCCTCTGAAGATCGACCCGAAGGTAAGCTCCACACGCTGCAACAACAACTTCGTCAGTGCACAGTGACCTATTTGGTAAACTTGGACATGTGCAGATCCCGACCCCCATCCACCGAGCCATCGGTAGAACTGTACCTAGGATTTGTTTGACTCCAGCCGTACTTCAAATGTGTCTGGATCGGCAGAGAGCGTGTTACAAAATCTCTGATAGACTTAACACGTTAGCTAAAGACAGACATGTTGTATTGCAGTAAATAAAATAAAAACTGTTCTAAAATGCTTTGGCTGACATCCTCCTCTTTGTGGATTTGTTTTCTCCCCTCCTCAGTTAAGCGTTGGTATAGTGGTAAGTGTGATGTAGAAGTACTGTGTGTTTTACGGTGTCTAACATCCCGTCATGGAACTTGATTAACGCTTACCTTAGATAAGCCGCTTTCAACAACCCAAACGCCACATGTTAGTTGATGGTTTCCCTGATAAAAAAACAGGTCGAGGATGCTTCGCTTTTAGAATCTTTTTAACCGACAAAACGGCTAAAACATCTTTGGTAACTAAACTTTATGTTGAGTTATTTTAAAACAAAAATAATGTCAAAAGCCATCCGATCAAGCCGTGACACTATTTGGGTTGTTCATTACACGGGTGTCTGTCAGCATGTTATGGTTCATTGGGTTAGAAGATCACACTGGAATAAACGTTGGGTTTAGTTTGCTCTTGTAATCACTAATGTGGTCTGTTAGAAACTAATGATCACTGGACTGTGCAGCAGAGTGAGCACAGACTCAAATTAACTCTTCAGCCAAGTGGAAATCCCAAAACACAAAGTCTGTCACGGTGAACACCACTGACTGGGTGATCTTTCTCCACGTGCATGAGCTCCACCTGCCACTTTGGATGGGGTTGACGTTGGCTGCCTGTGTAAGAACTAGTGGGATTCTGTCTCCTCAAATCTCCCTGAAACCTTTTTTTTTTTTTTTCTTTCCAGACAAAAGAGCGTCACAAGCTGGAAGCCCTGAAGAGGAAGCAGGAGCTGGAGGAAGAAAGAATGAAGAAGATGGACGATGAGAAGAAAAGGAAACAGGATGAACTCAAAAGGTTAAAGCTCAACATCTTTGATCGCTCTGATTGAGCAGTTCTTCTTCTTGTTCTGACGAACTTTTACGTTGGTGTGTTCTAGAAAGAGAGATGAGAGGCTGCGGAGAGTGTTTGAGGCCAAAGTAAAAGAAGAGCAGAGGGAGGAGGAGAAAAAGAAGAGGATTGAGCAGAAGATGGCTCAAGTTGAGAAAAACGATAAGGTCTTCAACGGATTCGGCAACTTTAACTGCGTTAGCTCTCCTTTAAGCAAAAGTGAAGCCCTTCTCTAATATTTGGTATCGCTCCGCTTTCTGCAGCGGATGGCAGACGACAAAGCCAAAAAGAAGGTGGCCGTTAAACGGCAAGAGGACGTGGAGCAGAAGAAGAAGTTGGAAGAAGAGGCTAAAAAGAAGAAGATTCAGCAAGCAGTGAGTGATTATTTAATTCATTGACAAAAAGAAAACCGGAAACGAAAGTGACTGGTTTTGCTACCAATTCAGTGCACCTTTTAGCCAAGGCGGAAAATTCAGTCTGACGTCGTGAGAAATGTGAATGAATGAGATCTGGGATGTTTTCAGACCACGCACAAATAATACATGCATATTGCAGTGCGGCTTTTTGTAATGTACGTGTTTTCGTGACTTTAGGAGGAAGAGAAGCGGCAGCAGGAGTCACTGGCTAAGAAGAAGGCCGAGGAGGAGGAACAGCGAGCTCGGAAGATGGCAGAAGCTCGCCGAGCTCTGGAGCAGAAGAGAGAGCAGGAGAGGGAGCTGGAGAGAGAGCGAGAGCAACTTGCTGCAGCCGAGAGGTCATTGATGGTCTTTAATTATCCTATCAATAGTACAAAGTAACCCTTTTTCTTGTTACTGACGTAATGTCCGGTTTTTTTCTTCTTTTTTTTTTTTTTTTTAGGGAACGAGTTGAAAAAGAAAAGGCTGTTGCTCTGCAAAGGGAACTGGAAAGAGCGGCAAGAGAGAAGGAGAGGCGAGAATTGGAGGAGAAAAAAAAGGCGCTTGAGAAAATATTGGTAAGAAATTTGATTTTTGAACCAAAATATTGTCTTTTTTTGGTGAAAGTGTATCAGGTTGGAAACATTACAAGCGGTTAAATGGTAAGAAACTGAGTAGAACACACACATCAGGAAAGCACAAGCGTGCAAATATGTAATATTGTTAAATAACCACATTTTGCCCAAAACTGATGATGCTCTGACCACGGCTCCTTTTTTTATGGAATATGACTACATCAAATGGCATAAAAAACATGCAGAAACCGATTATATAAAAGCAAGAAGGTTTTAAATATCTATCTTTGGTAACTTCAGATCTTGAAAGATTCCTCAATACCTCAAAAGTAACTATTAATGTTGGTTATGAACTCTATGCTCTAGAGCCGCGTCATCATAGACAGGTCCAGGTGGTCCAGGTTTCTACCTGCCATGTTATCCTGTTGATACTGGGGAAAGAAATGCCCTGGTTTGCATTCTTCTCTTTAAAACAATCATGGGCGCTTTAGGTGGCGCTTTGCCCAGAATGCACCAGTGCTGGCGTTGCATAATGGATAGCGGAGGCTAAGGAGATTGTTCGCTGACATGGGTGGCCCATGGCCAGCTTGTCAAAATAATCCTCTGTGGAAAACTTAAGTTAGAAAAACAGGCTTGGAATTATTTTGGAATTAACAGAACGTTTTCGGGCTATTGTAACAAAGCTTTACGTTCCATTAGGAGGAGCGGCAGAGGTTAGCTGCAGAAGAGCGAGAAGCTGCTGCGAAAAAGGCTGCTGCTGCCGCCGCCGCTTCTGCACAGGTAAACCTACGTTAGTTTAGGTGCACCTGCGCTGTTGAAAAGAATCAAAAGTTGACTGAAAGACTATTTGTATCTCTAGTGGAGTTGAATGTAACCCTCTTAATTTTCTCCTCATCAGGCTGCTTCTTACCTCAATACGACTGTGGATATCGAGGTAAGAATCTTAACAGGCCAAACTTTGATTTGAACCGTATGTTTAAAACATGGACATGCATGTTGTAATAGTGAACGGCGTCTTTGCCCCTTTTCTCATTTTTTTGCAGCGCTCTGTTATGAGCACGCCTGTAGGAAAAGGTGGTGGCCTCAACGTGACTGTGGATATTGAGGTAAGTTTAAATGATGCATTTTTAGCCGAATTGAATGTCTGTCTTTTAAACCTGATGTAAGCAGTTTCTCCCCTTTAGAGAAAAGCTCTAAAACGTCTGATCTATCCTCTGCAGAAATCCCCACAATCCTACTCCATCACGCCAAAGGGCGGCAACAAAACGTTGCCTAAAAGTGTGGAAGATTACGGGATGGACCAAAACAGTGACGACTCTACTGATGACGAGTCCGCCCCGAGGAAGCCTATTCCATCCTGGGCCGAAGGTAGGCATGATTTAATAAATCAGTCATCTGTAATGATGATCGGACCATATACCCGACCCTCTGTAGCGTTGTTTATAATTCCATTTATCAATCTTTTTGTAATGCACAGTTGACTGCTAAACAGTCAGTTGTCAAATCATAGTCAAGCAACCATAAGTTGGCAGGTTTGATGACTTCAGTCCATTGTAATAGGTGTCAATGCCTTTTTATCATTATTGTGAAACCTGTGTCTTAACTGACAACATTTTAATCTGAATTATTTATTTCTTCTCCAGGTCACCATCTGCAGCAGATCATTATGAAGCAGTACTTCAACCCTCCTGATCTGGACTCTTTCTTCGGAATAGTTGAACCACCAAAACTGGAAAATATCTTTTACAAGAGCAAGCCTCGCTATTTCAAGCGCACCAGCTCTGCTGTGTGGCACTCTCCTCCCATTGGGAGCAAATAATGTGTCTACACTGATACAGTTTTGCAAAACTGTAAAAGGTTCAGTCTTTGTTTTAAGGTATCTTTCCAATAAAGTGTGTTTTTCCATGTTTTTAGCTCAACGTTATAGGAAATATTCTTACTATTCTGTAAAATACGTGATGGATTCTGCTGATACAAGTGAGATTGGTGCATCATTCGTGGTTTAGACTTGAAAATGGGTGTGTATTATAACCCAGTGGGATGTAAACGTATGAAAGTTATTGCCAAGTGATCAGCAACAACATTCACTTGTATAATGCGTATAACTACCAACTGTAAATTGTACGTTTATTTTTTTTATGTTTGGGATTTATTGTGTTTCATTAAAATGGCTGAACAAGTCTTGTGTAGGTTTCAGGCGTGATTCGATTGGTGGCACCAAAAAAAATAAAAATAAAATACAGCTATACATTTTAGCTGCTGAGAAGGCAGTGCACATTTAAATAGTGTTATTTAAACTGAGTCCGTAGTAAAAACGAATTAACGTTAGTATTCGATTTCATTCTATGGAAGATGTGATTGGTTCATCTCAAGAATGCTCTTTAATAGTTATTTATTCCATGTAACAGCCATATCACCGTGTATTAAGTGATAAGGCACAGGCTGTCTATTATGACATTTTTATTATAAGTGACCCGCCTTTTAACCGCTAACGCGCAATGTTCCTCGTGGGGAAACGCTGCCGATGCTTCACACACAAGTGGCCCTGTGGCGGCCGTACGCATTGGCTGTTAGCTTCAGGTAAAGTTAGCAAGTCTTTAAACATCACCGGTCAGATGTGCTAACCTGGTATACTCACACAGGAGGTCAACGTGCACAGACTCCCAGCGATCACCTTCCTCGAGATCTGCTAGCTAGCAGCGCCTAGCAGTGCTAGCAGCGCACGCCAGGGGTCTCGTTTGAGGCAACGTTAGCTAGTTGGCTTTCTATAACCACTTGATGCTAAAAAACGTTTCATTGTTATTTAAATAACTGTCATTTTTAAATGATTTATTTATTTTCATAAATACGACATTACCTCACACAGTATCAGCTGCTGTCACCAGTGCTCTGAAGTAATGTTATGTTTGCCTTTCAGTGGGGTTCAAGTATATTAACTTCACCTGTCTGGGTCTATTATAAGTTTTCTGTAAGGTCTTTTATTTTGTACCTTGCATCATGTGTCTTTGGTCACTTTTAGCAAGTCCCAATTCAGTGATTTGACTGTTGGCATTAATCTTGGTTATTTCTGTATTAAGGTATCTGTTTTTTATTTTTGGGAATTATTAATGGTCCATTTTAGAAACCAGATAGAGATGCAGGAGCGGCCTGGAGGCTTTGGAGTGCTGCTTGCACCGTGAAGTGTCATCTAACCCCCGCTGGACCTGCAGAAAATGGCAACAGAACGCAATGTCCCCCATGTAATCTTAACAGCTCAGGCCAATGCTCCAATCTGTTTTGCTTGAATGATGGGGTTCTGAATTTGCTTAGACACAAATAAAGCAAAGCTATGGACATTTGGAGGATCTGACAGCCAATTAAGACAAAACATTTTGTCCCTTTTTTCCTCAGTTGCGTGACTTCATAGAAACACATTTTCTGGATGAACAGGTCCGATCTATAAAACAGCTTGAAGACTGGATATCCGACATGCGCCACATGGGAGACCCACGGAGCCGCGTGGCCGAGTACCACTTTCACAAACACACTGTGGCTCGCAGAGAAGTTAAACTACGCTGATGAACATCCTGTTGGAGCTGGATGCCAGATAATGCTGCTTTATTTATGTTTGTAAGCTGTTCATCAGCTTCAAAATATCCAAAAGGCACCGATGGCTCTCTAAACTGGACTACTGCAGACCTCTACTGTTGTTACAGCAAATATCTCAGGGGAAAAGGTTGATTCTCTATCTGTTCTTTGTATAATACAATATAATAGTAAACAAGATTAGATATTTTATTGCGAAAACCCCCCCAACTTAATACATGATACATAAGTTTTATTAAATCTAACACTGATGGAAATAATACTGAATACATTGGAATATACTCTTTGGCTTTCGGTCATTGGGTTTTTTATTTTATCTTCACAGTTGAGCGGTAAATCTCAAATGCTTTTAAAAGTAGGTTAATTGTTCTTTAGGAGCTTAACACAAAGTAAAGATTAACTACTGTATTTGCAACGAGTACTATTGCAGTTCAGATGTAACATCAATTAGTGCGTGTTTGTGTGAAATATTTCGAATGCCACTTGTATACAACAACAGTCCGTCACACCTTGTTCCCGCCGCCCTGCTCGTTCCCTCCTCCCGCCTTGTTCACGCCCCCTTGCACCAACACGCCCAGCAGGTCCCCCTCAGCCAATGAGATCCCGGAATCATTTGGTGAATGTTGCTGGTTGGTTTCTTGCCGCGGTGACGCTGACGTGGAAACGGTGTTTGCGTTGTTGTTGTTGCTGCCGCTCGGCCCACCGTTGGTGCCCCCGTTGCTTGATCTCACGTTGGTGCTGAAGTTGCCATGGTTACTAAAACTCATGTGACTTGTACCGTTGCAGAGGCCTGCCGTCGTGCCCGCGCCGCCGGTGGTCGCTGCGTTAATGCTGCCGGAGCTGCTGTTGGGGTCACCGGGATTTGTCGCTGCTTTTCGGGAAGGAGGAGTGAACGAGAACACCCTCTCCCCCCCTTTTCCCGCGGCCCGAGCGCTCGGGGGCCCGGCCTGTCCTTCCGCTGACGGGAGCGCGTCGAGAATAAGCCGGGGTGGAGGGCGGCGAGACAGCAGGCCGTGCCCGGGTCTCAGTTTAGATATCGGGCAGAGTACTGGTGGAGGGTCCGGGAACGAGAACATAGGGGTGTTCGGGACTTCTCCGTCCTCGCTCAGCCAGGGGAAAGCGGAGGAGGGCGGCGGGGGGACGTGGTTGGGGGTGTCGGGAGGCAGCAGCTGCGAGCCGGCCGTCTGAGGAGCCAGCGAGCTGCAGCTGCGGCCCCAGTCGTTCTGGGTCCGCCGGGCAGGTCGTGGGCGAGGCACCGCGGGGGGGCCGCAGTGGATGGGTGTCTGCGGGCAGCTGTAGCAGCCGGGCCTCTCGTACAGGGGCACGGTGGAGAAGGCGTAGTCGGGATCTTGCTCGTGGGTCAGAGGCTGGCGGCTTGGACCCGGAGTTAATGGGCCCTCTGGGTGCAGGTAGAGAGGGAAGCGGCTCAGCGGAGCTCCGGGGCGGCGGCGTAGCAGAGGGACCCGGGAGGAGCGGGGGAAGTTCGGGGACTGGACACCAAGGAGACGACCCAGCCCTCCGAGCAGCGGGGTGGAGTAGTTTGCTTCCTCGTGCTCTTTAATTTGCTCCAGATTGGACTGAAACTCCATTTCCTCCTTGGGAACACTAGTTTGGATCAAATAGGTGGTTGTATGGTTTTAAAAGTATTTTCTTTTTTGGTTTTTACAATTGTTTGCAAGAAAATGAAAATCCTCCCCGAACCTGATATCCAGGGCTGAGCCCATGAAGGAGGGTTTGCGGTGTTCAGCGCTGGCGGCCGTGTAGGGAGGCTGAGGCTCACACTCATTCCAGTACACATCCCTCTCCACCAGCGGCAGGCTGTCGTACATCTCATCCACAGACAGCATGGACACCTGAGAGACGACAGCAGATCAAAAACCCAAACAACAGTCGTCCCCCCCCCCGGCCCCGTATCTGCGGCTGATGTCAAAAAAAGTGGACGGAACCGTTTCAATCCCTACTTGTAAATTGCGATCGACCAGCCAGTTGGTTTCGAAGTCATCGTCGTCTTCGCCGAAAGGGTTTATGAGTTGCTCAGCCACCTGAGAGCCACGAGCCGGGATAAGAACAGAGCACAGTGCAGCTCAAGAGGGATAACGCAACTAACGCTCCACGTGCGGCCATCGGCGAGACTTGAACCTCACCTTCAGCCAACCAACGTAGAAGAAAAACTGCAGCAGCGTGAAAACGGGCAGGTAGAAGTCCAGATCGTGACCCGAGTAACCTTGAGCCGGATCCAAGAATTGCCGGCCAATCAGACAGGCCAGGAAGAAGCTGTAGACCGCCACCGTCGCCACCTGGATAAAAATACCCATGTTCAAGTAGCGTTGAGAAAACTGCCCCATGTTGATTGTTTGTCATTGTGAGTCAGCTTTCTAATTCAAAAAACCGAGGTAATGCAAGTTGACATTCTTTACAGCCCTCCTAATCATTCACAAAATAAGAACCGTTGAATCACTTTGCAAAGGCATCTACTATACTCCAGTGACAAGACAGAATATCAACCAAACCTGAGTGTAGACAAGAGGCAGGCTGATCCAGTCGTAACCGTACAGCTTCATACACTTTGCCCGTAAGCTGTTCAACTCCTGAACAGAGAAGAAAAGAGCAAAAGAAAAGAAAAATGACTTTTAAAGAAAAGGCCTCAGAACGAGGGGATGTTCAAGGCTTTAGGCCTGCCGGCGGATGCACATAAGGCCCTACAGTGAGAATGGCTGTGAGAGCCACGTCGTTGTTGATGCGACCCTCAGTCCGAGCCCTCAGAGCCAGGCTGACGAACCACATGCAGGGAACCCAGAACTTGTTGTGAGGAGAGCGCAGGTCCTCCAGGTGCCTCAGCTCGTCTGACGTCATCAAACCTGAGCGACAAAGAACACAATGGAACGACTCGTAGTCATTCATGTAACATTAAAATAGCACAACCACATCAGAGGGAAAGTACGTAAGTCGGAACCAGGGCTATGCTGGCTCACCTCACACAGTCTCGTTTTAATTGTGCAGAAGGATTCGGCGGATTTGGACGCGTGTTCGTCGTACCTGCCTGCACCACGTGCTCCATGGTGGGAAACCTCTTGTAGACGGCTGTGCTGATGGAGCGGTAGATGAGCACTCCAGAGAGGTTGGCGTATCGCATCAGGGTCCGTCGGGTCAGCTTGGAGGCCTCGTCAGCTCCCCGAACATGGCCGCCCACTAACGCTGCCAAGCGGTCGGGCCAGGGGACGTTCTCAAACTGGCCCCACCAACGGGACACGACCAAGGTGACATAGAAACCTGGTAACAAAAAAAAGAACTGCATGCCAACCTCCTGTGATGGTTTCCAGGAAACATGGTCTTGGATTGAGATTTCGATTCCTGAAACAATCGGCCTCAACTCACCCAGCACGAAAGACACTGGGATGAGTTCTGCGTAGCGGTCACAGTATATCGACAGCTTCTCAAACAGCCTTTTCTGATCATCGTTCATCACAAACCTGGGGGAGGAAACATCTTTTGAGTCCATAACGACTAAAACACAGAATGTTTTCCATAAAAACCTTTTGTTACACTATTTTCTTCTGTCTTTTAAATCTCTTAAAATCATTTGCTGCTTAGATAATATACAGACATATCTAATTAAAACAAAAAAAACAGTTTTCGTGGGAACATACATATGTTTTTATGACATGTTATGAAAATAGGAAAACAGGCAGGTTCTACAAGACACAAATCATTAAACAGCAAAAAGAAATGTTTGAAACGATGTCTCAGCTACGTCGTTCTTTTTCTGCAAAGACAGCTGAACAATTCCAACTGTCGAATGCAACCTTCAATTCACTAAATCTAAGTGACCCTTGACAAAGACGTTTAGGAAAGAAGTTACCGGAGTACCTATAAACAATACTGAAGAAGTAGTAGAGAAGAGTGAAGATGATGAGCTCTCTATACAGCAGTTTATAAATGCTGCCCTTCCAACGCAGCAGCAGGTGAAAGAAGGTCCCCAGACCGGCATCGGCAACCCTGCGGGAGTACGTCACGGTCATGGCTGCTCGCGGGCCGACTGGCTGGGGGACTGTGGTGGGACATGAAGGAAACCAGTGTGCCGGTGTTCTCTGGGCCTCGACTGAGCTCAAGGTCAGCGATCAACCATGATCTCATAGGGCCAATTTGAGCACAGATCTAAAATGATAAAGTTGCAAAACAGAACAGCATTATGTATTCACTCTTCAATCAAATCAACTCCATTTTTGCACAATAAAAAAGAAAGATACCTCTTTTTCATGGATCCAAAACACATGAATATACCTGAAGAGAGGTTCGCAGGACCACAACAGGCAAATACAATATTTAAGGTTCTCCCACAGAAAACCTTTTTTACTCACCTCACCAAATGAAAACTTCCTTCCATCAGTGAGATCAGCAGCGTTTGGTGGAATGAAGCCGGAAAGAAAAGGAGAGCAAAGGACTCCTACAGCTCCGGTCATTTGACGTGTTAATCTGTTTCAGCAACAAAGCTGCATTGTGAGGCCAGGTCCTGTTAATCTGAGCAAATCTGGGTACAGCACAGCGCCCACACTGCCCCAAATCGGTCGGTCAAAGGCACGAGTGGCGTGTAGCTGTTGTTCACGTTTATGTCAAGTATAACTCTATGAAAGCGCTTGCTTAAAGTTTAACTTCTAGTTCGTTTCCTCTGGCTTTTGGGTGAGCACACAACCGTGTTCTGATGTCTTGATTTCAGTCAACACCTAGAGGGAACCTTGGTGACATTAGGTTTGAAGTTTGTGTGAGTTTTTCCTCATGGAAAGCTCTTGATCGGGGTGCGACTGCGTGTCCTCCCCCCTCTGCTGGAAGAAATGTGCACAGCCGTGCTCTAACTGGCCAGTGTGTGTTAGTGATTAACCCTTCCTGTGTAACCCGGAGACCCAAAGCGGAGAGAAGTGCGGGCAGAGTTCAATCTCCAGATTATCAAAGCACGATTTCAGCTGTTTTCGCAGGTTTTTGATGCTCTCGCGTCAATTGGGGATCATATTGGAACAGTTTGGTGAGTCAATTACGTGTGTTTCTCTGGCCTCAAATCATCCCTGGTTGAGTTTCTCGCACTCCTCGTGTGCGATAGTGGCATGACACTGTTTTTTAACTTACGTTGAAGTAATATTTACACTGGGTATCTCACAAAGAAACACATTCCTTTAGCATGATAGTCTGCGAATAAAGGAGCCATAGTGCCTGGGACACGTGTGTAAGCTATTCAAACGCTGTAGAGGTCATGACTTCTCCACCGACTACTGCACGACTGTGTGAAGTTTGAAAACCTTATTTATGTGATTCTTAATTGCATTTTGACACTCCCCCCCTACAGATATCAGAATGGCTAAATGCCACTCACAATACATCTGACTGACATCTAGAAGTTTCCCAGGAGCCTCTGAGAGAGACATGGATGCTTTGGAGGGAATTCACAGCGTCCGGATTTCTTCTTCTCCCCCGTCTTCTACGACAGCCGCTCCAGGATATGAAGTCCTCAGAGCAGGGAGATCTGGAATAGCGGTGTATTCCTCTGCGGTGTTCTTCGGGACACCCGATACCCTCGGAAAGCCAGCCGACACAAACCAGTCCAGCAGGCAAACTGAGGAGGAAGGCTGCATTGTTGGACGGTGAGGGGTTTTAATTCCATAAAGGCAAAGAATTATTGGTTTAAAATGTAACATTTTGAAGTGTATAGGATTAGTGCTAACAAGCTCTTTATAAAGTCGAGCACTATGGCTTTATATAAAGCATAGTGCTTCACCCTCTACCATATTATACATCCATACCAACAACAACCAAAAACTCCCACACGTGGTTCAATTACACTGGATGTAAAGCGGAACTCAACTTGTGACCGCATTGGAAACGGATTATTTCGGTGGTCAAGTGAAATGACTACACATGCAAACAAACACAGGTGGATTTAGTCCTTGCAGCCCATTCGTAGACGTATAGCACACGTTCAGGCAGCTTTTCAGTCAGTGAGCCTCCTGCGAGGTCGCATCAGGACTCACTTCAATTTGATTTGTGTTTCCTTTATTAGAGGGCACAGGGCAGAGCTGACAGGAAATGAGAGGATTACCGTTGGATGGAGGTGGATGGAGCATGATTACAAAGGGTATTCCAGGCAGATTCAGACTCCTGTTTATGTTTTGTGAAAAATATGCACCTTAACTTTTGAAACTAATGTGACCCGGGTATGTAGCATGCAGAATATTATACAAATGTAAAATAATAGTACCCGTCACTGCGCGTTGGTGGACAACCATTTATTTGGCATCTGTGCACTGCAATCCTTCCATCTATTAAGGTGTCTTCTATAAGACATTCCATTTAGTTGGCAACATACATGATATTTAAATAATTTATTCTGTTAGTGTGTTTCACACACAGAAAAATTGGCGCCATGTATTCCAGCATATAAAGAATGAAAGAAAAAGAGAACATATTGCCCAGGAAGTGCAGCTCCACATTCTTCCCTTTAGAGGTTTTAGGGATTAGAGGACCAATCAGGACCGTAATTGTCCATTTGGAGAGGATTTTACGTTAACCGAACGTGTTGAGCTTCACCTGCCCGCAATACGAGCCAGGTGAGCGCGTCTCAGGTGATGCGCAGACCGGCCCTCCGCTCCACGGCGCTCGTTGGGAGGGGATGCGCGGTCATGTGACCGGCGCGTGAAGGGCAGGGACGGAGCACAGGCAACAAGCGGGGGTTGGTTTCCTTCAGCCCGGACACAACGACACGGGCTGCGGGGACGAAAACGTGTCCGAAGCGGATGGAAAGTGTTACGAAAATCTGCGTTACACTTAAAAAAAAAAAAAATCGCAGTTTTTCTTTTTTGTTCGTTGTCAGCATTTCGCCGCTGTTGTCGTGAGTCGTCTACGTCACAGCGTCCGCATTCCTGCGCTGATTTCAAACAGCTGGGAGTTTTTTTTGTTTTGTTATTGAAACCAGCTCACGTTCGCTCGGTTTGTTCACCATTTATTTAATTTAAAGTAACGAGAAGAAGAACTGGAGGGCAGAAGCTGACGGATACGCAGCCCGGGTGGAGGAAGGTGGAGGTTTCTCTGCTGTCCCGGGCTCTGACAGGGTAAGGCCGGATAATGGGGCTGATGCAGTAGCAGCGGGTCTAAACCTGCGGTCCGCGGTCTCTCCGGGGTCGGTAACTGGTGATCCCAGTGACAGTAACTCGGAGGTAAAAACGATTCTTTGGATGTAAATAGGTGGATGTTGCAGGACACAGACATGCGGTCAATTTCAAACTGATGAGTAGCGAAGGAAAACTGAATTGGGAAACCTGTGAATGAACTTTATAATTACATGTGAAGTGTAGTTGTTTGGTACAGTGTAATGTTCTTAACATTTAAACTGTATTAACCAATATTTAACCAATAGATCAGCAGCCTTGCATTAAAAATACTCTGACTTGATAAATTGGCCAATATTTGCCATATTTCTTGTTGTTGAAACATCGGCTAGATACAAGGTAGACGAAATATTAGAAACACTAATACAGAAGAGTCCCTCAAATAGTTTAAGGATAAGGATTTGATTCATTTTACGTGTACCTGGTAAATATTTTACTACTGCAAATAAAGACTTACTCATTTCCTGTTCCTTGTTAGGGTCCCTTTCTGTTTATCCATTTGTGAAGCTGCACTAAACTGAAAAAGGCCCAATGTACAGTACAACACAAATTTTTGTGTTCAATTTGTACGGGAGTTATATTTGTATAGTGGAAACAGCTTTTTAAGTAGATCTTAAAAAGTTGTTGCTGTTTTTTAAGCAGCCCTTCTGGCACCCACAATTAAAACACACACTTACACAATGACCCACAGCACAAAGGATTCTGGAGCAACACACTGTGAGGTAATCAGGGATTATCATTACATCAACCTAATGTCATGTTCGACTGTGCTTGATAGCAACTCTGTTTTTGGAGTGGATACAGTCTTTGTTCTTTTATGTTAGGTTGGTAGATCTGGATCCAGAGCCCAAGTCCAGACTGGAGGGAGGAGGCAAGGCTGGGCCCCCCTCCGGCAGGGACCATGGCGACCTCTCCCGGCTTCGCAGCCTCTCGCTGGAGATCAAAGAAAAAGAAATTAGAGAAAAGGGCTCGGAGATCCTCAAGGAACAGCTGGATGCTGCGAAGAAGGTGTTGTTGCAAACGCACAAAGACACACTCGAACCATTGTGTGACCCGTAAAAATGTCGACGATGCAAATGTCCTTCCTTTTTCAAACGCGATTGTGAAATTTTCCCCACACAATTCAGGAACTGAAATTGAAGGACAGGGAGTGTGAGCGTCTGTCGCAGGTCAGGACTCAGCTGGAGCAGGAGCTGGAGGAGCTGACTGCCAGCCTGTTTGAAGTGAGCGATCATTTAGACACTTGGCCCCCGATGATCAGTGATGATCAAATTCATCATTTGCATCCCAGTGAAAACATTTAGGTTTAGTGTCAACTTTTACGTATTTCCACCTCTCCATTGTAGAGAAGTAGTACAAAAAAGACAGCGTGAAAGAGTTTAAATCTATTCATATCAACATTTTAGGATATGATCAACGGATTTCCCCAAATCTTTGTTATAAAGAGAAAAACATGCGTATCCTCAAACTCCCCTATTGTATTTTGATTTTCCACATTGCAGAAATGATAGCAAGCTAAATTTACCTTCATGTAAATCGGAGATGCTGGAATCAGTTTGTTTTTGTTTTCATGTGTTTGCTCATTACAAATAAACCATTTGTGTAGTTAACATATAAATTGTTCGTAGACTTTTAGAAGTAGACATTTATTTTTAGCTACATGTACAGTTATAAATGACTTCAAAGTAAACAAAAGCTTGTTGTGTAATGTTGTCGAGGTCTAAAAGTCACTTATTACTGCTTTTAACATTTCAACACATTGGCCATTTTAAAGAACAACGTTCAAGATATCCAATTTTCTTTTTCAAAACCCGCAGTATAAACAAACGGGCTGCGTGATAATGTTTCTTCATCCCAACAGGAAGCTCACAAGATGGTGCACGACGCAAACGTCAAACAAGCCGCAGCGGAGAAGCAGCTGAAGGAGGCTCGGGGAAAGGTGTGTGCGACGTTTCTGTTTCTCTACTGCCATTAAAACCTATTTAAACTTATTAAAGCTAAGTGATTTTAATAACTTTGTTTCATTTCAAATGTATTCATAGCGGCATAGCTATTTCTCAATTGACCTAAAATGTCTTTAAGTTGCTATTAAAGTTTATAATAAAGTTAGTGTTATTATTATTTCTCTTTTTGTCTTTGACTTTTGTCGTTAGATTTTTTTCTTTTTTGCTTCTGTGCCCTTTCTGCCCTTTTCTTTCCCAGATTGACGTTCTGCAAGCCGAAGTGACAGCGCTCAAGACTCTGGTGCTGACTTCGACGCCTTCTTCGCCAAACCGCCAGCTGCATCCACAGCTGCAGCCGTCGGGCACCAGGGGGGCGTACAAACACGTCGGAGGACACGTCCGCAACAAGAGTGCAAGCGGTGCCTTTCCAGCTTTACCTGGACAACCAGAAGCTTCTTCGGTTTGCATTCCGCCTGCGGCCAAAGAGGACAGAGAGGTAACCTTTTTATGAATGTACGTTTTGCCTCTCTTCTCCTTTGTGCGTTTCTCCGTTTCTTCCCCTCGTGCCACTTGTATCTCCCTCGGCTTCTACCTGCCCTCCGAGTACTAACCTCTCCTGGCTGGTTCCTCCTGTCTGTCTCTTCCTCTCTCAGCCTGCTGTTCCTGCTCTCCTCTCTCTGATACTCTGCCTTGTTCCTGGACGATCTGTCACTGTGACCTTTGACCCTTACTGGCAGGGGCAGTGTAATGACAGCAGACAGGTAACTGCATCTCTCTGACGGACACGCGGCAACATTTAGAAACGTCGAACCAAACCATCGACCAAAAGCTCATATAAATAATCCTAAATTATTTTTGTAACTTGATGGCAGTTTGTTTGCTTCTGTCTGTTCTGAGCCAAGTATTGTGTATGAGGTTGGAGAGGATTCTGAATCCCCAATGAAAGGGGTTTGTGGTGCTAAATGACAAGCGGTCCAACAAGCAAGTCGGATTGATTGATTGTTTCCTTTTTGCAGCTGGACTCTGTTCTGTATGCAGAGTTTTTGCTGTGGAAGGAGAATCCAAGTGTAGAGCGCTCCTCCGCCTTCTTGAGTCGCATCCACAGAGAAGACATTGGGCCCTGCCTCTCCTTCACCAGATCTGAGGTCAGACTGCCTTTCTTATTCTCCTTGTTAGAAGCCGGGCCGTCCCAATGCCACATTTCCCCACCTAAAACGATCCCAATTTCTGTCCTCCGCAGCTTTCGCAGCTGGTGCAGAGTGCGGTGGAAAACAACTCTTTGACCATCGAGCCTGTGGCCATGTCGGCGGTACCGATGGTCAAAGCCTCCGCTATAGAGTGCGGGGGCCCGAAGTGAGTTTGTCACGACGACATCGATCCACGTTGTCCCGGCCGTCACCATTCACTGCTAAACGATGCCAAACTCGGACCCCAAGAACCCTCTCTCTCTTCTTTTGAATCTCCCCCTGATGATTAGTGGTCTAATAGCTGGTTCCTTCCCACGTATCTGAGAGGGGTTTAATTAACGGGAACATTTCTAATGACTGTGTCTGATTTGAGGTAATCTTTTCTTTCCAGTGGCTTTAGGGCAGCAATAGAGACGTAAGTCCTCTCAGGAACAATCACTCATGTTCACTAACACAAATGACTGTAGCATGAAGTTTGTCTACCCAGGCGTCTGATGGGTTAATATCTAATCTATAAATTCATGACGTGTGCATGTGTGTGAATATATACCAATGGACCTTTTCCTCTTCCTCTGACTAGCTGAGTGTGCACTAATCATTTTTGTGTTGCTGTTTCTCATGTTTCTGTCTGGAATGTGTTCTCTCTTAAGTCTTAATTCAAAGTTGCCCAAGTTTCATTGTTAGCAATACCGGATGGGATTTTACTCGTGTTTGCTGGGATTAAACAGCGTCGGCGTGTATCCCCCCCCCCCTCCGCCGACGCTGTAAGGATCTGACCACTGATCTTTCCATTTGTAGAAAATGTGCATTAAGCGGCATGTCGCGCCTCTGCAGACATCGCATTAAACTTGGCGACAAGGGGAGCTACTATTACATCTCTCCTTCCAGCCGAGCACGGGTAACCATCACCTAATCTCTGTAATCTTTGTTTGACGCACAGCTGCTAAGTGTCAGTACGTGTGACCTCCTCCCTATTCTCACCTTTCTAGATCACCGCTGTTTGCAATTTTTTTACTTATATCCGCTACATCCAGCAGGGCCTGGTGAGACACGATGGTAAGTGGACAGTAGCATGTTCTTAGAATGAATCTGTTGTGCCTCCTTGGCCCGGTTGTATTCGGGCCGCTGACACGCTGCATCTTGCCTTGTTGTCTCTTTGCCTTCGTCCAGCGGAGCAGATGTTCTGGGAGGTGACGCGTCTCCGCAGGGAGATGACTGTGGCCAAGCTAGGTTTCTACCTCACGGACCTGGGCTAGACGGCCCAAAGGACCGCACAATCCCAGGACCTTGATTATTCAAGGTCAGGGCTCAACTGTGGTGACCAACTGTTGTTTGATCAGTTCTTGTAGCTGGAGTTGTACAGAATTAGTGTTGCAGCAGAAGTTGATCAACAAGGGAAGTAGAAAACGTTCATGTGCCACTTGACGAGTTAAACCAGCACCGCTAGAAAGAAGTAAAACATAACATGACTTTAATCACTCTGGTATTCCCGGTAATGTCAAATACATTTTCTGTTACACTGCAGGCATCCAGAAACTGAGAATTGTTACTTTCTCTGAACGTCCCCAGCGGAGTGCAAATAGACAATGTTTCAAGCTCAAGCCGTTACTCTGTTGAAAAGATGAGCACAAACAAGGAGAGCCGTGCAGAGGGTTAGTTGGTCTCTTACCTCAAGTATCACATACTTGTATAACCATGTAATATAATCATTTTCCGGGGAGATTGACAATATTTATGGTCTTTCCGCAGAACAATTTGGGTTGTTTTCTTTATTTTGACATAAATAGAATGCTCACTGGCATCTCCTGATGACGGTCAAACACCACAGGCTTTTGGTCCGAATGCTGTTGCTGCACTACTTGTTCTAGATGCCTTGTAATAACACGCGTGTGACCTAAACTTCTTAATCAAAAATAGTGTAAATGACTTGAATGACATCTGCACGCTCAAAAGAGTTTTACAATATATTCAGAAAATAAATGTGCTTCAATAGGTCATTACAATATGCACAACCTTTGCAATGAGGAGTATGTACATATAAAAGCCATGTGACTTTGCATGGATGAATTACATATTACACGGTGTATATTGTTTACACGTCGTAGTATAGATTTGTTAATGTCCAATGCAGAAAACGAGCCAATAATGTTCAAAATGATATGTTGTCAAAATGCAATAACTGCTTCTTCGCCTTCTGTAGGGCTTTAATGGTCCCAAACCTCAGTGTACTGATGATTACAACACTCCATTAAAGACAACGCATCGCAGCCTCACAACATCCCCCTTTTTGAAGTGTGTGTAATTTCTGTGTCTTATTTGACGGCAGATAAATGAATTCGCTGGTTCGATCTCGACTCTTTCTTGCGTTCTGTGGAGTCTGGACTAAAGTTTGGGAAAGGTGATTCATTTTAAAACTAGAGCAGTTTCTGTCAGGGCAGCACGCTGACTTGGCTTTGGATTAATACGTCACATGGATCCTGGTTGCCTCGATGCTAAACGCACAGTTACTTAACGTGTTTGTAAGCAGGAGTCCGGCACAGGGCTACACGGGAATATCCCGCTCACAGAGGCTGTATGAAAATCGCTTTTTGGGGCTGACATTCCAGTAAGCTGTTTGTTTCCGGATTGAAAGGACTTTTGTAAGCTTGTTATTGTGTTTATGGCCTCATGGTACATATTACAAGTGTAAATAAATAGTTTGACATGGATTGGTCACTGATGGAATGTGCTGTCCGAGGCCAGAACACGTGATCACATGAGCAGGTCATGTTTTATAGGTCAACAGCAGCAATAACATTTGTCCAGCCTTAATGTTCTACAAAACAAAAACAAAAAAATATTCTTACGCTACAGATCAATACATTTGCAACTTAAAATACCAAACCCAGTAGGATGCTCGAATACCTTAACAGAGAAGTTTAGCCCAAACACTTTAACTTTTCCCCTGGCAACATTCCGCATTGACCAAGTCTTCTTTCTTGGGAAAATATCTGCAAGAGAGAGATTTAGTTATTCAAATTAAACTTAAATTTTACAGATACAAATGAACAATTTCTACAACATGTCAGGCCCTACCCTTTCCGTAAGAAGTTAATTTCGTTGTGTTGTGGGTTCCTTTTTAAAAATGCAATTATTACGCTCATGAACAATGGACTTTTTAGATATGACAGCAAAACTCAATGAGAACACTGAAAGAAGGACTTCTAGTGGAATATGTTCACAGCGAGCGATCAGTACTAAGATAAAGGGTAACTTCTAACCTGGACGCTTTTATATTCTGACTGTTGTAGCGTGTTCATTATTTGCCTTTTTCCAATTAGTCATTATTCATTCTATCTGCATTACTGATTGTTTATAAAAGTTCTCATTGTGAAAGGTCAAGCCTGCAATATCGTCAAGAGAAGTATTATAGAGTGTATATATAGAAGTAAATCCCTAATCTCCTTAACGTGTGTTATCCACAGACCTTAAATCTGCCAGATCTCCAATAATTCAAATTAATTCCCATTTTAAGACTTATTCCTCCCTCCTATGGATGAAATAAGCCTTATTTTGAAGTCTTGTGAGTTGGTGTGTTGCCAAAAAATGACTATTGAGGCAAAGTCCCGCCCCTTTGCGGTCAACCATTGGAATTTCTTTTGTAAATAACACAATCTTGATCTCTAGTTACACATGTTTTTCTGATACAAAATCAGTCCTTTTTCAAGTCTTGGATCTACCTTACTATAATATGGTTTTGGTCCTCCCCTGAGATTTACGTGTCACTTTTTCCTTGTAAAATAACAGGAAAAAATACCTGGACCTGTTACGTCGATTTGCACCTTCAGTGTCTTACCTTCGATAACAGAACACGATCATCAGCAGAGCCGCCACGCCGCCGGTCACCACGACCACTGCAGTGACGACTGAGACGACGGACGGCGAGGAGGGTTCTGTGCACACACACAGAGAGATGCTTTATGTTGTGCTCCTTTAAAGGATTTCTCTACTTCAACCCTACTTAACAAGAAAAAAGTCATTGGCACAAAATATCCAACACGCAAAAAAATTGCTAAAAGAAGGAAGCCAAATAGTTGTAACCAACCTGAGCAGATAAAGGAACCTTGTGTGTTGAAACACTCCAGATGTTGTGGGCAGACGGAAGTTAGGTTTTTACATTCATCGATATCTGCAACGATCGGGCAAAGACACTCAAGTCGATGACGTAGCTAATGGCCGGTTCCTCACAAAAACAGAGCACGTTTCCCCTCAACATTATTTCAGAAGCTTTTGATTGCATTTAAGGACATCATCATTGAGATGGAAACTTTCAGCCTCGATCTTGTGTTTAGATCATTTTGTCGGATACTGTTTTCAAAGTCAAGAATAACTTTATACGCCAAATGTCAGGCCAGTGCTGATGAGATGCCACCACAATGCTGAGAGAACTATGAACAGCTACAATTCCATGACCGCTGGGAAAAGATCATGTGAAGAGATCAAAAGAGTTTTCGAACATATGACTGTCAAGATCACTGCGATTTTGCAAACAAACTCTACCTTGCTGCACTGGTGTTAAAATAATGTCTTTCTATTCCAGACTTGTCACGAGGCGCTAGTTCAGTCTTGGTACCTTGACAAGTTGGGGCCGAGGGGCTCCACTGCCGGCTGTTTGGATCACAGCTGACGGATGAAGATCCCAGCAGCTCAAAGCCAGAGTGACACTGGTAGAGAACCACAGAGTCACAGAGCAAGGAGTAGCCGGATTGAACTCTGGGTATCAGACCGCAGTCGGGATCTGTAAGAGCGAGCGGAAATGTTCACGGGACGACGCGTGGACCGACCTGACGTCGTTTTATTGTCCACCTTCTCACATGAGTCTGGTTCCTTCCACGGGCGGAGGTCCAGGTGGGAGATCAGCGGGTGCGAACAGGGCAGCATGTCCTCCGGCCTCTCGGTGCGCGAGAACGGGTCCGCGGGGACATGAGTGATGTGGCTGTTGTCACAAATGATTCGGGACAGAGAGACGCCGTGCAGGTGTCTCCTCTGGGGGCCGGTGAACACTCCTTCCCTCTCCCACCAAAACCTGCAGAGACCAAAAGAAATCTGTCTCTAAATGTGCATTGAAACCGCCATAACGTTCCATTGGAGGATTTGTTGTGACCTGTCCCCGTCTCTCAGCGCTCTGAACTGTCTCGCCAGCAGGCAGGACAGCAGGGGTCCGACTCGGCCTCCAGGGAGAGCGGGCTCGGAGATGGCCCCGACCCACACGTCGATGTTGTGCGGCGTGCCGTATAGGAGCTGCAGTTTGTGGGCCAACGTGAAGTTTGTCAGAATTTCGGCCAGTTCAGAAGTGGTATTGGGAACGGAGAGGCTGCAGGACCTTCTCCATGACCCGTATCCTAGTGGGGGGGGGGGACAGGAAGCCTCAAATACTGGGTTTCAACTACCTGAGAAAAAAGAAACTACCACTACCAAGTGTTTCCAAGTGAGATTCAATCATTAAACATGTAAAATGTAACTCATTATTATAAGGTTATAACCCCATTGTCCTAGCAGGTTTCCATATTCCTAAACTATTACTAAATTGTTTTTCCATCTTTAAATATCTGCTCCGTATTAAATGTTTTTGCCCTTTAGCAACCTGTTACATACATTTCAGTCAAATATTACCCTGGTATAGAAATTGTAAAATACTCGCTATTACCTAGTTGTTGTTTTTTCATTGTGACACTATAACCATGTTATTACTGAGGTGTAAAGTAAAAAGCTATAGTGATAAAAACACTCTATTGTGCCAGTAGAAAAAAAGCTAATACCAGGCAGGCCGTGATCCCGGCCCCTCTGGAGATTAAGGGCCCCGAGGTCCAGAGGCATCCCTCCCTGTGCCTGAAACAGCCTCTCTGTCAGCTCCTCCACCATCATCTGACCTGGAGTCTGCAGCTTCGCAGGAGACAGCAGCAGGCCGCGCAGCACAGGGTCTATACCACCTGACACCAGGAGAAAAGAGAGAGACAACAGATAAGATCAGTAAATTGTAAAAACAAAAACAAAAGTTATTTGAGTCAAATGTATAAATAACATATCATAGTCATTTTTACCTTCCTGCACAACCCTCCAGGAGGCAAACAGTGAATGGTGCAGTGGCAGCTGGGGATGCTGGGAGTTGGTGGTGTACCCTGGCCCCAGCCTGGTCACCACTGGCTGCACGGTGACGTGGGCAAAGCGAAATGCTGCAGCTGCGAAGACGTTAGCAATGCTGGGATCCACCTCGGGATCATAACCCTCGTAGGGAGGCATCAGACGAGACATGGCGCCCTCACCGAGGACCCGCGGCAGGTAGTGCTCCCATGTTAAGATCTGCAAAGACCAAAAGAAGGTCAGAGCGCTGGCAATGCTCACGTATAGGTAGAAGTAAACAGACAGAAGCTGCCACCTGATGAACGGCTCCCATGATCTTGCGGGCCTCCTGGTAAAGCGTATCGGGGCTCCAGCGCGGGTTGATCAGGTGCAGCTCTTTGACCAGCCGGTTGTGCTCTCTCAGGAAGAGTGTGTGCAGCGCAATCATGCCCAGATGCTCATTGGCTCTTGAATCACCTAAGAAGCAAAAATCATTAAAAGAAGCTCAAGCGAAGCCTTCCGAGAACAGACAACTCCTCACAGTTACTTGCTCACCAGCCTGAAAGCAGGATGTGGTGTTCTCTTGCTGCCTGGATTTTTCCGATGCCCGCGAGGTGAGGGAGCTTCGGGGGCCGCACGGGTCCAGGTGAGCCTGTCGCCTTGGCAAATATGGCATGTAGGCCAGATCCCGGTCGGAGTGCTGGGAGTTGAGGGTCATTAAGCCCAGAGGCGATGAGCGGTTTCTCAAAGTCGAGGCCAGGCTCGTGGAGCTGCCGTACACCATGCTGGCGTCCACGAAGGAGGTGATGGCGTTGAGCTGCTCCCGGCGGCGATGAGTTGGGACTCCGGCAACACAGCTGGGAGCGGAGCGGAAGAAAGGCATGCAACTCTGGAAGCCACTGCGCGGATCTGACAGCGGGATCTGGGGAGAGACGCGAGTATGGTTTTGCAGGGAAGAAACAAAACATTTTTTTCATATATTCAATTCAAAATTCAAAAAATTTAAATATTCATTTAATGAGGTAAATCAAGCGTCTTAAGCCTACACATTTGAAGACACAAAAACAGTTTTATGTTGCAAAAAAAAAAAAAAAAAATCTAAACTGCAGGAGATCAGGCCAAGAAGGCAGCGCGCTGAGAAGCAGCGGACAGCGGAGGGTACCTGTATGGGGAAGCAGGGCGTATCGCGGCTGCAGGTGTGCGTGCAGTCCGCTCCGGTTCTGAACGAGGACCTACTGGGGCTCTGAGGCGTCAGCACCACGTCGTGATCAATCCACTGACCCCACTCCACCAGCAGGTGGGACAGAGTGGAGTCCAGAGAGATGTTGTCGTTGTGAGTGAACAGCACTTCCTGAGACACCAGCCGCACCTGCACACCGAACAAAGAGTTTGCATTTCGCCAGATGACTGAACAGGGCTGTTGCAGGACTCCTACCGGAGGCAGACTGGCATTATGGTAGGTGTGCTGGGGGTCCCAGCCTCTGGGCATCCCCCACAAATCCTCGTACTCTGCAGGCAGCCAGCGGGAGTATGGGATGTTTGCAGCCCCCCATCTGGGATTATGTCTTAACAAGACGAAAACAAAACAGACACATCGCAGAGCAACAACAACTCTTATAAGCCAGCACGGATGTTTTTTTTACTGTGTGGACAGGAACCTGTTGTTGCACTCTCCTGTGATGGATCTGTAGCGCTCAGACAGACAGTCGGTGTCACAGCTCGGCCTCTGCAGCTCAGCCGAGCAGCCGGTCACCTGCTGCAGATTCTCCATGTCTCTCTCACTCAGAAGCGCTTTCCAAACATACAGTTCATGTGTGATAGACAAATAAATAATGACTATAATATTCAGAGAGAATAAAACGTTGGTTAATGAGATCTTTGGCTCCTGTTTAATGTCAGAAGACACCATCTTCTATGAATGTGTTTGTATCTATATTGTATATTTGTATCTTGTACAATGGCTGGATTCTGTAACCTCATTTACAACATATATGAGGATGTAAAAAGAAAAAGGCCCTCTGTGAGATGAGTAGATCAAATGCGTGGCGTCTGTACCCTGATGGTCCGGCTGCACCATGGTGTGAGTGTACACCATCTCTCTGATCAGCTCCACTGTGTTGTCCAACAGTTCTGCAGCCCTGATCTGGGCACTGGTCTTGGCTTCAGTCTGTTTGAACTGAGCCAGCAGGTCACTGGGTCTCAGAGCGCCTTCAGACACAGATTTCTTCACCCTGGAAGCGTTGAGAAGTAGAAAATGAAGATTCCAAATGGTTCCAAATGATTTCTACAGTGACCGGACGGTTCACCTTTCACTGGTGCGTGCGTAAGCAGCATCCGTCAGCTCAATCGCCCTCTGAAGCGCCTCCTCTACAAAGCCAGATCCTGGATACACAGCGCCTGACATTACCAAAGAAAAGGAAACCATAATTGCTGTTACAAATACCTTTCTAGTCCCGTCAGTGATAATCCACCAGGTATCCCACCGGAGGTGTTGGCAAAGACCCTGTTCAGAGAAGCATCGTCGGGGCAGGAGAGCAGGACCAGAGCCAGTCCAAGCAAAGAGACCTGAAACCACAACACACCTAATTAAATATCTCAAGAAATGTGCAACTCTGTTCGATCAGGGAGAAAACGACGCTCACCGTGAACGCTGCGTCCATCTAGAACATTAAAACTGATTAGCTTCAGGTTAAGAAAACTAATCACGCTCACAGGACCGACCGGCACTGACCATGACTTATCTTGACAGCCAACCAGCGTGTGTGTGTGTGTGTGTTCGTCCCTGAGCGTCCAGGTTGCCATTTATACACCGTCGGCAGAGCCAACAGGTATGTGCAGAATCCCCTTATCTGTCCTGCTGCCGACAGGATGGCAACATCAAACACTGGATTCTCCGCCTCCACCTAATAACATTCAAATCAAATTTACTTCTGTCCTCATGATGAAAACCTTCTGTCATATTTGGATTATTTCAATCAAATGAGCAATTCCACCCCTCCCGCTAGAGTATGTTGTAGCCAAGTATTGTAGAAGTGGATACAATCAGCCAAGCACCGACAGTTGAAATATTGAACGCACACAGAACTTTAAAATCAGATTGAAAGACAAGCTCATTTATTTGTTGCAAAGAAGCCACGTTTTACAATGATTCATATGGAACAGCTTTCGTTTTCATTACAAGAGCGTCATTCTTTGGCTCATGTCGAAAGCGTCATCTGATCGTCCCTGTGCCAGTGCTGCAAACAGGTGGGCGAGCTTGAGATGAGGATTCTGGGAAATGATTGAAGATCCAGGGATGAAAATAACAGAAAGGTCTCAGTTAAGCCAAAGTGATGTGAGTCATAACGTATTGATGTGTTCTGCCTTTAGAGCTCAAATGTGAAGGCCGAGCGGTCTGAATCATACCTTTGATGCTCCAGGTGGGAGATACCATCGAATGAGTCATCGGTCCCATTTCATTACGATGTTATTAATATTGTCTCTGTTGAATCACGTTACCCGTGATGGACTTTATGTGATGTCAAAGATGTGAAATGCAGTTGTTTTGTTTGCCAAATGTCCTGTTGGAGTTGGTATGAAGCAACACTTACATGACTGGTAGGTAAAGGCCCATTTATTTAGTTATTTTCATTATCTTAGGTGGTTGTTTTAGGTTTAACGCTCTCAGTACCCAAGAAATAAACCCTAAATATCTGGCTGCACACTAGGGATACATGGGATTACATTAGCGTTTAAAGCAAAAAAAGACAAACATTGAAACTTCAGGTTTTTAAAGCTTTTGTGTGGGGAAATAAAGGAATTTGTTTTCAGAACAAGAAATAAAATCCCAAACTTTTATTTACAGGAAATCAGTTGGTTGGACATTTCACTGAAATTGTTGACTTGTTATTTTGTCCTGAACATGCAAAAAACACATTAAAGTACTACTACACGGGAAGGATATGTACCTTCATTGAAACCGGAAAGCTTTTACAAATATTACAGCGCACAACTCGAGTTGCAGCTACAGAAGCAGTTACCGGGGAGATTCACATACAGTGTTAGTTTTGTTATTTGCTGTAGAGAAGCTGCAGCTGATCTTTCTTTATGCGTGCTGAGACCAGAGGAAGCGATCACAGCGCTCAAGCATCGTTTGGATCATGGCTCTGAAACAGAAGACAAAAGAACAGCACTGTAACTAACAAAGTGTTCATTACATGTTGCTTAGCAGATGCTTTCATCCAAAGCGACTTACAATAAGTGCATTCATATTACACCAATTCTTTTTTTTTTTTAATGATGTTCAGATTTAAAAAACAAAACAAACTATTGACCTCAGTGGAGTGCAGATCTCCTCCAAGTGCATAATGTTCGATCGAGTGATTACAACCACCAATTGGCGAACATCATTAAAACCAATGCAGACGAGCGGTCTTTAAGCACGCAGTCACGTATGAGCACCCGAAATATCATGAAGTCTGGTGCGGGAGTATGCAAGGTGATGCACCCACACACAATTGATGACATTATCTCCTGGCGAAAGTATTAAGTGGTATAACGACTGCTTCCCATACTTGTGCGTGACCCACCTCTGCCTCGTCTCAGTGACCCGCAGAAGCTCACACACCAGTTTGGAGTGTGGCGAAAGGTCCAAGTGCACCTGACACTCCTCCAGGACGGCCACGGCGCGGTCGGGCCCGGCTGTTCGTGCCAGCATGAGGGTCAGGTTCTCCGGGTTGATCTTTCCACCGCAATCCGCTGAGCCGTTGGACCAGCCGCTCCCGTTCGAACCCGCGACCTGTTCCGAGTCCACCGCACTGCTGCATCGCTGAGACAACCGGATCAGGAGCTTCCACTCCTCCAAAGTCTGAGGGACAACACCTGGAAAAGGACAAAGGGACAGAGACGGTGTGAGACTATCACGGGGTTTATTTTTTCTGAACTTTTGGCAAACGTGTTTCAAACCAGTGTTGTTTAGTTTGATTGTGTTCTACTTGCAGACAGTGTCACTAAAGGTAAATCAGTACCTGGAATTTTACTAATGTTTAACTAGACGCCCAGTGTAAAAAAGAAGGGGGATGAACTTTTGTTTGGACCAAGCACTGTGGCCAACTAAGAGTGCGCCTGCACCATCCCCAGCACTCGCCTCATTAACTCCACTGTTATGAACTCTCCTCTCAGCCTATGAATGATTAGAATTCTGCTTCTGCCTGAGAGTTTTACCATCAACTTCCTCCAGCAGACTGATGTCGTCCAGCTGACAGATGGTGGAGAGCGCTTCCTCGCGACACTGCAGCTCGCAGCAGAGGAAGACGTAGCCCGTCCAGTACCTGCACACACACACACACACATTACACACATGTTAAGTCCAAAACACGAACAGCGAGAAAAAGAGTCAAGCCGAGTCAACGGAAACTAGAAGATACCCGTGACTGCGGCAACACTCTGCCATCTTCTGCTTGGAGGGCAGGTCTGCAGGAAGACGAATCAGGAGAGACAGCAGACGCCCATAACCCCAGCTGAAACGATGAGAATGCCACCTGCAGTGACAGTCACATGAATCCACCCGTTACGTTTGTTCTTTTTTTATTTCGTTTGACCTGGTTGTGGTCTGAAGAAATCCAGAAGTGAAATGTACCCATGATAGTTCACTTCTATCCAGACACACCTGTTAGTGTATAACCGTTAACCGAAAACTCGGTAGTCCTTACAGTGGACTAATTAAAATGATCATGCATCTAGTTTTTCTATCACCAACAGGAACAGACCTGGGATGTCCATCAGGGCTTATGGTATCACAGCGTTGAGGGGCATCGTGGGTAAGTGCCAGCTCCAGCCAATCCTGTCGGAGTGATTCTGGTTCAAGGAGGCACTGCAGAAATGACAACCTGGAGAAATAATGTAAAAAAAAAAAAAAAATCCATGGTTTAATGTGTCCTTGTGTCTGACAAATAGATTCAATCAAAAGCTGTACCTGTGCTCCTCGGTCTGTGATTGGACCAGATTGTCCAGGTACGCCAGGAAGTGGCTTTGTTGAGCCATCGTCATGACATCAGCGGGAGTTATGGTGGGATAGAACTGCGTGAAGGAGCGAACAGCCGCCTCCCCGTGCTTCTGATACAGCCTGGATAATAAGAAAACAAACTCACTTCACCAGGTCCATCACAAGCGTGACATCAGCATGCTCGCCACGCTACAAAGAAACACGGCTGCTGACCTGTGCAGGTGAGCGAGGAGGGGAGGGGCGCTCCAGGGCTGCAGCTCCCTCAGGCTGCGCAGTGATCTCAGCAGATCCCCTCTCTGGATAACCTCCACCACCTTGCTGGACTGAGTGAGCTCTACAGGAAACATCCAAAGTTGATTTTCTTTCATTTAGGAATTTAAATATTGAGTTACGAGATGAGACGCAAGTACATTCATCTTTTCAAAGACACCTGCGATTACGATTGTTGTGATGTCTCCTTTAGATTTCGATCTGTGGTTAGATTTTCTTTCTGAATTTGTGAAACCCGAAAACAAAGAAACGGGGGGGGGGGGGAAACATGAAAATCGAGATTTAAGGAGAAGCTCCTCACCTAGCATTGCCTCGATGAAGGAGCTCTGCACCTCCGGCTGATCTTGATAACACATCAGACACATCCTCCTCACACGCTCCTGGTCCAGCAGAAAGAAGTAGGAGCGCAGGAAAAGTGTGCAACTTGCTGCTTCATTTTCCTGGTTTCTGAAACAGCTCATCTCTGTGTGCAACGTCGCCAGCTGGGTGAGACTTTCCAGTAGATCCGATGGTAAAGGTTCTGGAGACTCCACTCGAACAGGAGCTGGATGGTTCCCATTAGAACCGTCAGGCTTCATCTCACACTTGTCCTCCCTTTCCTCAAGCTCACCAGACTCCTCTGTGATGCTCTCTGTCGGTTCCCCTGACGGGAATAAAGATCCATCTTGTTGCTCTGAGCCGGAGTTTAGATAACCCGACCTCTCCTCTCCGGGTTCATTCACATCGGAATCGGCTGCAGCAGCCGACCTGAGCTCTTCAGGACCGAGAATTCCCTGCAGCACCGTCAGCCACTCCTGCAGAGTTTCTCCCAGGCAGCTTGGATCCAGTAGCACCAAGGGATCTTGGATCTGGGAGCTGATGTTGGGAAAATGCATTGTGTAAATAGAAGTTGTAATCTTGCAGTCGGGATTCTCTCACGACGGCGTGCAGCACTTACGTCGCTCGCTCAGTCGCTGCCCGAAGCGCCTGCATGTCGGCCTCCGTGTTCGGCATTTCGTTATAAACTCTGACGGCAAAATATAATTCACTTTTTCGTCGGATTGACATTTAGTAGCCTACGCAAAACTAAATATGAGCAAGGAACAAAACAATGTGTGTGCTCGGCCTGTACTCACTCATTGTCCATTTCCTCGGAGTAGGAGGCTGAGATTTCAGAATGACCGCTGTCCCTGAAGTCGGCTCGTTGCCACAGCTCAGAGTTCATCTGGAGGGTGTTGATCTTCTTAACAAAACTAGAAACACTGGGGAAAAAAGAATAGCTGTAAAGGCAAACGGATCTATTAACATTTGCATATGACAAATGATATTTGGAAATGAAACCTGCCACACGGATGAAATGTGTGAACAAAAAAAAAAAAAAAAAATGGTAAGGTTCAGTGGAAAGGGGAAGGAAGCCACCTAAAAGCACAGCTGCACTCGAATATTTACAGTTTCAGTCCTCATCTGAAAAGAGGAAGCCCAAATCCACAAATAATGTGATCATTGTTTCATCTGAGATGACACAAAGTCGTATGGTCTGGATGCACGTTCACCTGTCTCTGACAGCCTGCAGAGCGATGCGAGGGGGTTTGGGGCGGAATGAGAGGGGGAGGTGGAACTGCATGCCTTGCTCCGACCGCTCCGCCTCCGTACGCTCACTGCTCTGTGGATCTGAATGAAGATGGGGGCAAGAGCCAGAGGACAAACACAGATGGATGGAGTACCGGAGGGGAATGATGAAAGGCGGAGGACGTAACGCAAGCAGATGGCGCAAAGGTGTCGGACACCACTAGCCAGGAAATGCAATTGGAATGCTGAACAATGCAAATAAACAGAACCAAAAATGGTGATTGACATGTGATTAAATGAAACGGACAAGAAAGTCCGAGAGAGGATTGTTATTGCAAAAATCATGAGTGATCATTCAGCTCTCACTGCAACATTATATTTCATGTTTTTAACGCCAATCATACAAGACAGTATCAGAAGCAGGTACATATGACCAGTTTGCCGACAGAGAAGATTTTAAAGAGTATATAATGGTAAATTATTTTCACATGAACAGACGCTCCAAATGAGACATTTCTGTTAGAATCTCTTTATTTGGGTATTTGTGGGTGATAAAATACAAAAAAATGTCACTCTCTTTTCACATTGAACTCAGAAGAGGCAGAAAGGAAATTTGAAAAACCTGGTGTGGAGAAAGAAACAACAATGTGTGAATATTTTCTGTTTCAGCAATATTTTACCATTTTGGAGTTTAATTTGTTTGTGTACAGATTAAGTAAAAGGTAGAGTTTTTTTTTTAGAAGATTAGAAGATTGTTAATTTTCATCATTAGATTATTTTTGTAAATTTGTACCCTAATAATCAAGCATTTTTTGTAAACACTCCTTCTCTGCGATGTTTGAATAAACTAATGTATGATAAATAAATGAATAAAACGTTATCCTCCTCAACTTGATTCCATCTGGTAATTATTATATTAATACTACTACTTATAATTGTTATTAGAAGCAATATATTAACAATCTAAATCTATCTAAATTAAAGACAAAGAA